TCTAGGCCCGAAACGTCAGCCTTCCTGCTCCTCTGATGCTGCTTGGCCTGCTGTGTTCATCCAGCTCTACACCTTGTTATCTCGGAATGTACTCCCAGTTTGTTTGATGAGAGTTGATTCTGCTTTTAAGAGGGAGTTGCACTGGTTCTTGAGTGGGTAGAGATCATGTCATGTTAAATAAGTTAATCATGCATATAGCATTTGGTTCATATGATTTTGTCTTTGAATTGGCTTTGATTGTCTGGTGAAACACAAGATAGGAGCTGATGTGGAGTCTACTGCTCCTCAAATCAACATGATTGTGGCCAGTCTTGGACTTAGAACTCCACTATCCTGCCAGCTCCCCCATGTCTGCCCATTTCCTGAGTCACTGAATATGTGAGAGTCCCAGAAAGGTATTTCCTGAAGCATCTACTCTGCCTCACTGCCCCTGGACGATTCTCTCAGGTGATCACTTGATTGTAGGGAGGTAGATAGAGTTTAGTCGTGACTATTTTAGCTATTATAAATGATTGGATAGAACATAGAAAATAGGTGCAGGAGTAGGCCATTCGGCCCTTCGAGTCTGCACCACCATTAAACATGATCATGGCTGATCATGCAATCTCAGTATCCCATTCCTGCTTTCTCTCCATGTCCCTTGATCACTGTAGCCGCAAGGGCCACATCCAACTTCCTCTTGACTATATCTCACAAACTGGCCCCGATAGCTCTCTGTCATAGAGAATCCTACAGGTTCAAAACTCTGTGTAAAGAAATTCTTTCTCGTCTCGGTCCTGAATGGCTTACCCCTTATTCTTAGGCTGTGACACCTAGCTCTGGACTTCCCCAACATCAGGAACATTCTTCCCACATCTTGCCTGTCCAGTCCCATCAGGATTTTGAGATTTCCCTCACCCCTCTCAATCTTCTAAAATCCAGCAAGTACAAGCCCAGTTGATCCAGTCTTCTTCATATGTCAGTCCTGCTATCCTGGGAATCGGTCTGGTGAACCTTCGCTGGACTCCCTCAAGAATGCCCTTTCTCAGACTAGGATGAATTAGATGATCTTTCTGTATCATAATGGTGTGTCAGTATTGGGACAATTACTCTCCACTCTTTCAGTTCTCTGTTCACCAACTGATCACTGCTACCCTCAGGAGGGTAACTTTGCTACTGCCTCTCTAACCATCCCACGGTTGTGACCCTTGGATCTTCAAGAACAGCTTCTTTCCTGCTGTTATCAGACTTTTGAATGGACCCCTTTACTGTTAATGTTGACCTCTCTCTGCACCTTCTCAGCAGCTGTGACATTTTATCCTGCATTCTGTTCTGTTCTCCTGACACACATGTATACTTCGATCTGCCTGTAAAGCACATTAAGACAACATTTTTCATAGTACCTCGGTACACCTGACAATAATAAATCAAATCCAATCAAATATGGTTCAGACATGTTCCATCAAACTCCTAATTGGCTAACATTCCAAAGGAGGACAGGGAACGCAACCTGTAACACTGTATCCCGCACTCTGTTCTCGTACCCTGATGCACTTTGTAAGGTACAATCTGCCTGTACAGCACATAAAACACCAGTTGTCATGTGTACCAAGGTACAGAGAAAGTAATAAATCAAACCAAGGATGGCTCTGACTGAGTGTTAATAGCCACGATGTTCCTTTTAAATTTTAAACAATGGTGGGTGGGTTCTAACCTACTGATCTCTGGGGCTATGTTCCTGCTCCAAAAGAGCCATTCAGAAGCTAGTTGCATTTCTCTTAAAAGCCCTGCAGTCTAAACAGCACCCATATTCCCAACTCTCACCAGTCCCACTTCCTGCCTCTCACTCTGGGGTCACGGCAACTTAAAAATCTCAAAATGAGGTCAAAGTAGGAAAAGGTTTAGGAATGACCAGCTCAATGTTTCCAATACGTGGGATCAGCAGTTACAAAATGAAGGAAAAAGCAGCTTGCGACTGTTTAGCATATTTTCAAATCTCTTCGCGACAATGCTTTGGAACATCAGTTTTAGGGAGCAAGTATTTTGTTCTGCAAACCCCGCAAATAACACTGACGTGAATGACCACTTGACCCCCGTTTATCCTGCACACCTGCTTAGGGGGGATTAGCTGGAGTAATCCACATGCAGTTAACCTGGATGGCTTCTCTTGGGATCAATCATTACAGAAATGCATCTTGCTTTGGGAGGGGTGGAAATATTCTTGTAGTTTTATTAGTTGTGCTGTATTGTGTCATTTCTACAGCATGGAGGTTTTTCTGGTGTGTGCATGTGTGTGTCAGAGTTCAATGGGTTAACACAGTGTGGAGCTGGGGGATCACAGCAGGCCGGGAAGCATCAGAGGAGCAGGAATGTTGATTTTTCAGGTTGGCACCCTTCTTCACAAATAGCGGAGGCAGTAGGGAGCTCCGAAATAAATAGAGAGGTGGGGGGTGGAGTGGGGCTGGGGGAGATGGTGGGATGGTGATAGGTGAGTGCAGGTGGGGATTGGTTAGTGAGGTGGAAGGGGCAGATAGGTGGGAGAGAAGATGGACAGGTTGTGTCAGGTCAAGGAGGCGGGGATGAGATGGAAGGTTGGTCATGGGATGAGGCTGGGGGTGGTGAGATTTTGAAACTGGTAAAATCCACATTTAGGCCATTGGGCTGTAGCCTCCCAAGGCGGAATATGAGGTGCTGCTCCTCCAGTTTGCGGGTGGTGTCATTGTGACACTGGAGGAGGCTCAGGATGGACATGTTGCCCAGGGAGTGGGAATGGGAGTTGAAATGGTTAGCGACTGGAAGGTGTTGTCGTTTGTCACGAACAGAACGCAGATGCTCTACAAAGTGGTCTCTGAGCCTCCGCTTGGTCTCATCAATGTAGAGGAGGCCACATCAGGAACAGCGGATACAACAGACCACATTAGCGGATGTGCAGGTGAACCTCTGTCTGATGTGTGGAAGGTTTTTTTTTGGGGCCTGGGATGGCAGTGAGGGGGAAGGTATAGGGGCAGGTGTAGCACCTCCTGCGGTTTCAGTGGGGGCTAGTGGGGAGTGTGGAGCAGACGAGGGAGTCGTGCAGATTGTGGAGTGGCCTCCCACAGGTACCTAGACTACACCTCCTTTCGCCCACCTTCCTGCAAGAATGCGATCCCCTACTCCCAATTCCTCTGCCTCCGCCGCGTCTGCTCCCAAGATGGGGCGTTCCACACTCAAACATCCCAGACGTCCTCGTATTTCAAGGAAACCATCCCTGCAGAGTTCAATGGGGCCTTGATCTGATGGGCCGAGGAGTGGCAGATGGAGTTTCGTTTAGACCAACGTGAGGTGCTGCATTCTGGAAAGGCAGGACTTGTACACTTAATGGTGAGGTCCTGGGGAGTGTTGCTGAACAAAGAGACCTTAGGGTGCTTGTTCCGTGAAGATGCAGTCGCAGGTAGACAGGGTAGTGCAGAAGGCATTTGATTCGCTTGCATTTATTGGTCAGTGCATTGAGTGTAGGAGTTGGGAGGTCATGTTGCAGCTGTACAGGACATTGGTTAGTACACTTTTGGAATATTGCATTCAATTCTGGTATAGGAAATACGCTGTGAAACTTGAAAGGGTTCAGAAAAGATTTGCAAGGATGTTGCCAGGGCTGGAGGGTTTGAGCTGTAGGGAGATACTGAATAGACTGGGGCTATTTTCCCTGTAGCATCAGAGGCTGAGGGGTGACCAAATAGAAGTTTATAAAATCATGAGGGGTATAGGTAGGGTGAATAGCCAAGGTCGTTTTCCCAGGGTAGGGGAGTCCAGAACTAGAGGGCATAGGTTTGAGGCGAGAGGGGAAAGATTTAAGAGGGTCCTAAGAGGCAACTTTTTTACACAGAACATTGTGCGTGTATGGAATGAGCTGCCAGAGGAAGTGGTGGAGGCTGGTACAATGATAACATTTAAAAGGCGCCTGGATGGGTATGTGAAGAGGCGGAAGGGTTTAGAGGGATATGGGCCAAAAGCTGGCAAATGGGACTAGGTTTATTTAGGATATCTGGTCAACATGGACAAGTTGAACCAAAGAGACTAAACAGCTCTGTAATTCTATAACTCTATGACAATCTACTTCTGAGCTGTGTCTATCAACAAAATTACTCCTAAAACTTAACACCTTAGTCATCTTTTATATTTTCAAGGAATTTTTGCCTATCTCAACTACCATGTACCGCAGACTCGAAGAGAGATTATTGAAACCTTGTTGAAGGGACTGCAGAGACTAGAATACAGAGGTTATGATTCTGCAGGTAAGATAGTTTTGTTTTAAATGATTGTTTTGTATGGGGGGGAGAATGTAAAATTGCATTTATATAGCACCTTTCGCATCCTCACGTCATTCTGAAAAGTTTCACGATGGGGTTACCTGTTGTGGCATAGGGAAATCTCACATCCTGCAGTGAAGTGAATGTGATATTTTTGTGGTGTTGATTGAGGGCTAAACATTGGCTAGGACAGCCTGTGCTTCACTTACAAGAGTACTGGAAGTACTCGGCAGGTTTGGGAACAGAAGTTGATGCCGCAGGATCAGTGTCCTTTCATCGGGAAGTTCTGGGCCAAGGGTCACTGACGGGTAACTGAGACTCCAAGACCTGCCGAGAATTTCTAGCGTTCTTCTGTCAGGATTCCGGCATTGCTAGTATTTAGCTGCCGGACCAGCCTCTTCTTTCAGTAGCGCTCAGGGATGCTTTGTATCCAGTTGAGCTGGAGCTGTCCATGAAGCGCAGCTGTCAATGTGGCAGTCCCTCGATGCTACAGCCTGGAATATTGGGTGTTCAAATCTCCAGATGGGCCTTGTGTCCGTAACCCTCAATTTGCACTGCACTGAGACACTACTGGCTGTTGCGTTCTTCATGTTTGTAAAGCCATTATCTGTTTTGCACCTCGCTGTAAGTATTCCGTTGAAGGTTTATAAGCTGCGAGGTAAATGTGAAGTAAGTGTTGTGAAAGTGAAACTAACCAACGTTTTAATTAAGGCATAAAAGGAGCAGTTATTTGCAGTCACATGTAAACACTTAGTGTGTTGGCTTCTCTTCAATCCATCACAGTGCAGAAAGAAAGCATTAACTCATTTATTGCTGCAACCAAAATCTCACAATGACCCTAGTCTCCTAATTTTGTACAGGAGGCCTCTCTTGGAGAGCTGTATCCATTTCTGTTACAGGAAGTATGTTATAAACCGGAGAGGGTTCAGAAGAGATTTACCAGGATGTTGTTGGGAATGGAGGTTTTGAGTTATGGGGAGAGGCTGGATAGGATGGGACTTTTTTTACACTGGGGAGGGGTGACCTTATAGAGGTGTATAAAATCACAGATAAGGTGAATGGCAGGTGGGGGATTTCAAGACTAGAGGCTATATTTTTAAGGTGAGAGGAGAAAGATTTTAAAAAAAGACCTGAGGGGCAATTTTTTTTTTTAACCGAGTGTGCTTCGTGTGTGGAATGAATTTCCACAGGAAGTGGTGGATGCAGGTTCAGTTACAACATTTAAAAGACATTTAGATAAGTACATGAATAATAAATGTTTGGAGGGATATGGGCCAAGCGCAAGCAGGTGGGACTAGTTTAGTTTGTAATTATGGTCGGCATGGACTGGTTGGACCGAAGGGTCTGTTTCTATACTGTATGACTCTCTGGCCCCTTAGGGGTCATAGTTAAATCAGTTGGCTGATGGTTAGAGTGTGGTACAGGTTAAATCTCTAACTTGACCGATGAACTGTGTTAACCATTAAAAATCTTTGGGCTTGATTTTTCTCCTGGCATATTAAAACATAAAGTAGTGCTAAATAGTGTGGGTTTTGAGGAAGGGTCATTTGACCTGAAACGTTAACTCTGATTTCTCTCCACATGCTGCCAGACCTGCTGAGCTTTTCCAGCAACTTCTGTTTGTTTTGCTGCTAAATAACTCCGTAGCCCTGAAAAATGCTGCTTTTACAAATGCGAAGTCACATTCAGAAAAACATTCAAGACTTTTTTTTTTCCCCAATAAAATAGAATAATTTAAAAAATGTTCCTATAATTATGCTTCCCTTTTAGCTCAGTCCGATTGTCCAAATCTTTATTTTGGTTTTACTGTAGTAATAGAAATGTGATTTACTTTCCCTGATTTGCTGTCTTTCAAAGCTCTTCAAATTTGACTGGCCCAATGGGTCTGCTATTGGACACTACAGATCCCCTATGGATGGTGCCAAATTGCAAATGAAGAAATCTGTGTGCTGGAATTGATGCATACTGTTGACAGTTTTTTTCCCCTAGTTTAGTGGCAATCCCCGTCTCTATGGTGACTAATGTCAATCTAATATACAAATTCAAGCTCTAATTTAACTGGCCTCTTTGTACTAGTACATTTTCCTAATGATTCAAAAGTGACAATTACTTTGTAAATTGTCTTGAGCTGCTTAATTGCAGTCCATTTGAGTTTGAATGCATTCAGAGTTCCTTCACTTTGGGAATAAAGCCTGCTCCAGTTGCCAACTTAGAGCCTTCTGTTTTTATATACACTCCTTGGATCTTTGTGCAAGCTCAGACCAGACTTTGAGATTACTTGTAAACAGCATTCATCACCAATCTGCATGTGATGGCAAGGCTACAGAGCAGCATGCGCCAGAATGTACAAGTTCCAAGCTCCTAGCAGGGTCACATGATTACTCCATTTACCTTCAAGGCATGTCAACGTATTCATTAAACCCTCTCTCTCAAATTTCCAACGCCATTAACACACTGAGGTGTATGCGACTTGTGACATCGGGGTGTGTGCGTGCCCGTAGTGCCCAGGAATGTGTAGGCTAGGTGGATTAGCCATGGGAAATGTAGGGTTACAGGGATAGGGCAGGAGGCTAGGTCTGGGTGGGATGCTCTTCAGGGGGTCAGTGTGGACTCAATGGGCCAAATGGCCTGCTTCCACACTTCAGGGATTCTTTGAATGCATGTCCAACTTATTTCAGACTTGACGTGGTTTATTTATTAAATTTAAGACTCCGATCCAACAGAAAAGCGAATGTGATGATGACATCCCACATTTCTCAGCTACTTTGCTCAGACGTTAATGAGACAGTGGGTCATCAAATCTCCAGTAACTTTCACAAGAGGTTACAGTTCTTCACTCTTGATGATCCAGTCTTAAAACTTCCTTTCAGGAACTCTTGGATCACAGACTGACCCCCACGACTGCTCCCATTCTGTTCAATCACCCTTCTTGCCTGGGTCTAAGCTCCTCCAGACTCTCAAACTACACTCCAGTCCCCATCCACAAGTGTAACGCCAGCTCTTCACTGATGATGAGATTCACTGAGCCATTTCTGTCCCTGGGTTTTTAACCTGAGCTTCAATCTTGCTCTGTTGTGTCGAGCAAAGCTGTTTTTGAGCTACTCATAGAGTTATAGAGTCATACAGCACGGAAATAGTCCCTTCGATCAAACCAGTCATAATGCCAAACTAAACTAGTCCGACCTGCCTGAGCATGGCCCATATCGCTCCAACCAGTTTTTTTATTCATGTACTTATCCAAATGTCTTTTAAACGTTGTCGCTGTACCTGCATCCACCACATTCCACGGGAGAACCATTCTATTAAAAAAACCTGCTCCTCCTGTCTTTATTAAATTTTTCTCCTCTCACCTTAAAAAATGCTCTCTAGTCTTGAAATTCCCCACTCTAGGGAAAACCCACCTGCCATCTATCTTCTCCATGCCCCCCATGATTTTTTAAACCTCTATAAAGTCACCTCTCAACCTCCTATGCTCTGGTGAAAAAAGTCCCATCCTGTCCAGCCTCTCCTTATAACTCAAACGCTCCCTTCCTTGCAATATCCTGGTAAACCTCCTCTGAACCCTCTCCAGCTTAATAATATCCTTCCTGGAACAGGGTGACCAGAACTGGACACAATCTCCCCTCTGTCCTAATGACACTGGGGGAAAAAGAATTGGTGGTTTCATAGAATCCCCACAGTGTGGAAACAGGCCATTCAGCCCAGTAAGTCCACACCGACCCTCCAAAGAGTATCCCACTCAGACCCATCCCCTTTCCCTGTAATCCTACATTTCCCATGGCTAATCCACCTAACTTGCATACTCCTGGGCACTATGGGCAATTTAGCATGGCCAATCCACCTAACTTGCACATCTTTGGACTGTGGGAGGAAACCCACGCAGACACGGGGAGAATGTGCAAACTCCACACAGATAGTCGCCCGAGGCTGGAATTGAACCCAGGTCCCTGGCACTGTGAGGCAGCAGTGCTAACCAACGAGCCACCTTGCTGCCCCATAATCCCACCATCTGCCAAGGTGGGATTTGGACCCGGGTCCCCTGAATGTTGCCTGGGTCTCTGGATTAACAGTCCAGATAATACCACTAGGCCATTGCCTCAATCTTGCCTGCCCCGTAAATCTCCACAGCACCCTGGGACTACTTTCTGCTAATCACTGCTCTCTGGCATTCCAGCCATCTTGTTCCTGTGGGCATCAGTGAAATTTGACCAAATGTCTGATGAAGGAAGCTTTTCCTTTCCTTTTGTTTTAATCCCTTTCAGCCCCTGAAATAAAAAGCTTAATGTTTTACAATGCCAACCTCATCTCCTTAGTCAGGGTTTCGCTCCGGAGTCTAAGTGAGCTGAAGACCCGCTTCAAAGTCTAGAGCACCTCATCCACGAGGACACTGTCAGAGCTGCTTCGCTTTCAGATGCGACATTAAACCATGAATGTGTTTGCCCTCTCCGATGAACGCGAGTTTGAACTAACAGCAGCGGTGCAGTTTCTGCGATAAAACAAAAGCAAAATTCTGCAGTTCCGAAAGCCGAGCAGGAAGTGCTGCAGAAACTCGGGAACTCTGGCAGAATCCGCGGAGAGAGAGAGAGAGAGAGTTTGTGTTTCAAACCCGATGTGTGGCTCTTCTTTGGAAATGCCGGAGGCCATGCAAACCTGAATTCGATATTTTCTAATCACAGTTCAAAGAAATGACACACCTCTGGAGCAGGTGGGACATGAACCCAGGCCTCCTGGCTCAGAGATAGGGACAATACTGCTGCACCCACAACAGCCCACACGCAAACCTTATAAATGGAATATCATATTTCAGCTGTTGGACTCCAATGGGAATGTGCATTACTATAAATAAAACAATAAGGGCTACATAGCTAAATGTATCTACGCACAAGTGATGCAGATAGTGTGCATTGCGCCCCTGGTAAGTGCACTATGCCATAGAAACATCAATAACATCAATATGTAGTGAGCCTGGGTTTGATCTCGAATTTGTGCTGTGTTAGCATCAGAGGTTCTGTAGTGGGTGCCAGAACTCTAGGCAAAGAGGCTCATTCTACATGACGCTCTGCTGCTTCCTGCTGAGGAGAGTTTTTTTTTAAAAAAAATTTCATTTGTGGGATTTTGGTTTCTATGTTTGGGCCAACATTTATTGCTCTTCAAGAAGGGTTTTTTAAAAAAATTCATTCATTGGATTGCTGGCTAGACCAACATTGCTGATCCCTAATTGCCCAGAGGGCAGTTAAGAGTCAAATACATTGCTGTGGGTCTGGAGTCACATGTAGGTCAGACCAGGTAAGGATCTCAGTTTCCTTCCCCAAAGGACATTAGTGAACCAGATGGGTTTTTCCTGACAATCGACAATGGATTTGTGGTCATCATCAGACACTTAATTGTCCTGTGGTGAGTTTGGAACCCAGGCCCCCAGAACATTACCTGGGCCTCTGAGTTAATAGTCTAACGATTATACCACTAGACCATTTTGTCCCCAAGGTTGAGGTGAGCTGCCTTCTTGAATGGCTGCAGACATGAGGAACTGGTACACCCACACTCCTTTTTAGGGAGGCATGTATAGACCTGAGGTAAAGGTTGTATTGGAAAGAGTGTTGGAGGTGATTGGCGGTCCCCCACCCAACTCGCCCAATAGTTCAGACTATCTGAATGTATTCTTCCATGGCCAGCGTGTGCATCTTGTCCTGCCTTATCATCTCTCCTAATGCTGCACGTTAATCGTTCTGTCAAATATGAAGTAGGTTATTTGGACCTTTTGAGATTATTGTGTCCATTCAACTAGATTTAAGGCTGTTTTATTGCATTGGCTGCGATATGAGTGTAAATTGATGAATGCAAATGTTCTTTGTGACTTTCTTACCAGGTGTTGGAATTGACGGAGGTAATAACAAGGAGTGGGAAGACAAAGGGAAGCAAGTCTCTATCATTAAAAGAAATGGGAAAATAAAGACTTTGGAAGAGGAAATAAACAGTAAGTTTCACATGCGCTGAGATGCAGGGTCCCTGAAGAATATATTCACTCTTTAATAGGCCTTCAAATGTGTATTTTTCAAAATATCATATCAAAATATTGAGATTCCTTTTTTAAAAATGGCCTTTTACAGCACAGATTCAGGCTATTCGGCCCAGTTGATCCATGCTGGTGTTTGTATTCCACACTAGGCTCCTGCTATCTCTTCTGCACACCCTTCTGTTTGATGACAGTGATGCTGTTGATGTGATGTGCTTGGTCTTCCAAATTCCAAAAGGTGGCCAACGACAGATGTGTGAGCAATGCTAGAGCTCATGGTATACAACGGACAATTGCAACATGGATTCAAAATTGCGTGGGAAACGAATAGTGATGAATGGTTGTTTTCTGAATTGACAAACTTTGTAGTTGAATTCTATAGGGATTGGTGTTGGGACACCATAAGACCATGAAAGAGAGAGAGGTGCAGAATTAGGCCATTCAGCCCATTGAATCCTTTTGGACATTCAATCATGGCTGGTATGTTTCTCAACCTAATCTCCTGTCTTCTCCCTGTAACCCTTGATCCCCTTACTAATAAGAACTCTGTCTTAAATACACTCAATGACTTGCCTCTGCAGCAATGAGGTCCACAGATTCACCACCCTCTGGCTGAAGAGATTCCTCCTCATCTTCGTTCTAAAGGGTCATCCCTTCAATCTGGGGCTGTGCCCTCAGGTCTTAGTCTCTCGTACTGGCAGAAACATCTTATCCAGACCTCTTGGTATTCTGTAAATTTCAATGAGATTTTTCCCCTCATCCTTCTAAATTCTGTGGAGTACAGACCTAGGGTCCTCAACTGCTCCTCATGTGACAAGCCCTTCAGCCCTGAAATCATTCTTGTAAACCTCCTGTAGATCCCCTCCAAGGCCAGCACGTCCTTCCTTAGAATACCTGCCTATTTTCCTGGTATATATTATGGTGGATCTCGTGCTGTTTCTCTCATACGGGAGGTCCGTTCTACAGATGTCATTGACATGCCCCAGGAAGTTAGTAAGCTACTCTATCACTGGGCACGTGTGTGGTGCTGGTGCCAGCTGGTGTTAATGTTGCACTCACAGCCCCACTTGGTGCCATGCCATGGTGGCACTCCTTTGACAGATCTGCTGCCCTGGCGCTCAGCACACTGCCCCGCTAACGACTACAGTCCTGAGTCACGATATTAGGCTGACAGAGTAAGATCACACAGCAGTTAAGACTCTGTATTGTTGTGTATAAGACTATGAGGGGCGTGGTTAAGAAGGAGATATTTCCTTTTAGTAGAATGGTCAATCATGAGGAGACATCGTTCTAAGTTGAAGGGGAGTTTAGAAAGGATTTGAGGAAACGTTTTTTTTTCACCCAGAGGATGGCGGGCATCTGGAACGAGGAGGGTCATAGAGATGGGAAGCCTCGCAACGTTTAAAACGTATGTGGGCGAGCACTTGAATTGTCATAGGCTATGGGCCAAGTACTGGAAAGTGGATTAGTGTAAATAAGTCGGCACAGACTTGATGGGCCAAAGGGCCTCTTCTGCAAATCCAAGAAATATTCAAAAAAGAGCGCATTTCATTAACGAATCATAACAAGCACAGGAACAAGGTTATGGATAGCCCTACCCTTTGATGTAGTAAAAGACCTGTGGCATCTTTGTCAGTGACATCACAGACATTCAGCCTGGTCAGTGCCTGTGCTCCCTGCATTAATAGTGTCAGCAAATGCACCCTTTAATTCATGTCCTCGGTGTACAGGATACTGTTTTATAAACTGGCAAGTATTGTGAACCAGGAGAAACAGAGAACTTCAAAAGGAACATGCTGATGTTTATGCTGTGTTGTAGGGATTTATTTAAGCACATCTTCATGCACACCTCTCTTTCCCTTTGGGAAATGGAGTCATAGAGCTGTACAGCACAGAAACAGACCTTTTGATCCAACTCGTCCATGCCAACTAGACATCCTAAATTAACCTAGTCCCATTTGCCAGCATTTGGCCCATATCCTTCTAAACGCTTCCTATTCACATACCCGTCCAGATGCCTTTTAAATGTTGTAATTGTACCAGCCTCCTCTACTACTTCTGGCAGCTCGTTCCATACGTGCTGGGAGGAGGGAGAAGGATTCCCAGGTTGATTAAACATAGACGCATAGAAAATAGGAGCAGGGCGAGGCCATTCAGCCTTTGGAGTGTCCTCTGCCAGGCTGTTATTATCAAGTCATTGAACAATATCATGAATGCACTGTCCATAGCCAGCAAGGTAGACGTGTACTCAAACCTCAGGCCCAGAGGTCAAGACACCATCCACTGTACCCAAAGACATTCTGTTGCTGGGCAGAGTAGCTTCATTCAGTTCTTACACTCGTCTTTATTGGTATTTTGGCTGATATTGAATGTCAATGACATTGAATGTGCCAATTTGAAACATTTCTATAGTTGTCTATAAATATTCTGTCTTCTGTACATAATGTTCTGGAGGTAATTTGTCTGCATAATTTCACTGCAGTCTGTGTTAAATATTGTTCCCACTTTTTTTAAAGAACAAGAAGATGTTGACTTTGATGCTGAGTTTGAAACACATTTTGGCATTGCACATACTCGCTGGGCAACACATGGCGTTCCAAATATTGTTAATAGTCATCCCCAGAGATCCGATAAGGACAATGGTGAGTCTACTCCATATTCCAATTATGTTGCAACAAACAAAACCATTCAGTTGTACTTTTGAGATAAAAGGTTCATTCAATCAAAGGCATTTATGGCAAAATTTTGTTGACTCCAAATTTGTAACTTTTTTTGAATTCAACATTGGGTATTGAAAAATGTTTTTCTGCTCTCTGTGGTATGGTTTGACACACCGGCAACGGAGGCAACACATTAAATATCAGATGTGGATTATATAACATAATTTACAACGGTATTCTTCTGAAGATTTTTAACTTCATAAAGTCCCTACAGTGTGGAAACAGGCCATTCAGCCCAACAAGTCCATGCCAACCCTCTGAAGAGCATCCCACCCAGACCCATCACCCTACCCTATTCCTGTAACCCTGCATTTCCCATGGATAATGCACCCAACCTACACATCCCAGGACACCATGGGTGACTTAGCATGGCTAATCCACCTAACTTACACATCTTTGGACTGTGGGAGGAAACCGGAGCACCTGGCAAAAACCCACGCAGACACGGGGAGAACGTGCAAACTCCACACAGACGGTCAGCTGAGGCTGGAATTGAACCCGGGTCTCTGGCACTGTGAGGCAGCAGTGCTAACCACTGAGACACTGTGCCGCCCCAAAACCTGCACTCATCAGAACAGAATCGCAAGAATGCCAAATATGACCCTCTCCTCTCCCAGTTTAAGTTGGTTTTTCTGTTTGAGATTGTGTACTCTTGCAGTTCTGTCCTCAAGAGAGCAAGGTGAAAAGCTTCAAGTGAGTCCCCTCTTTTAGCTGAATTTGTGCACCTCCAATCATACGTTTTGTTTGACTTCATTTGGTGTGAGATGATGCAAATAAAACTACCCACGTCCTTTGAGCATAACCCTAGGGGTTAGAGGATTATACTTGAATCTTTGTGGGAAGGCAGTGGCCGAGTGGTATTATCGCTGAACTGTTAATCCAGAGACCCAGATAATGTTCTGTGGACATGGGTTTGAATCCCACCATGGCAGGTGGTGAATTCAATAGAAATCTGGAATTAAAACTCGACTGTTTTCTGGTCAATGCCAGAAAAACCCAACTGTTTCACAAATGTCCTTTAGGGAAGGAAACTGCCATCCTAAGTGGTCTGGCCTACATGTGACTCCAGACCCACAGTAATGTGGTTGACTCTTAACTGCCCTCTGGGCAATTAGGGATGGGCAATAAATGCAGGCCTAGCCAGTAACACCCACATCCCATGAATGAATAAAACAAAATCACGGAGGCCAGAATAGATGGAGCATCAGTAGAAGCATGATGTGGAATCTCAAAGCCCAGGCTAATGCTTTGAAGAGACAGGTCTCAAATCCACCATGACATCTGGTGGAATTTGCATTAAATTAATAAAGCTGGAATAATAAACTTAGCATTGTTGACTGTAATGGCTATTATTGAAGTAAAATTTCATCTAGTTCACTAATGTCCTTCATGGAAGAAAATCTGATACCCTTGCCGTCCCGGCTTATATGTGACTCCAGACCCACAGCAACATGGTTGTCCCTTAGCTGTCTTATGAAGTGGCTGAGTCAGTGTCTCAGTTCGAGGGCTATTAGGATAGTCAATGAATACTAGCCTTGTCGATGATGCCCACATACCATTAAAAAAGTAAGGAGAAAAGACAAATTGACCGAGGGATGACTTGAATTGAGGCCTTGAAAATGATGAAGGGATTTTTAAAATTCACTTGTGGGATGTGGGCGTCACTGGGCTGGGCCAGCGTTTATTGCCTGTTCCTAGTTACCCTTGAGTGAGCTGCCATCTTGAACTGCTGCAGTCCACCTGCAGTGGGTTGACCCATAATGCCCTGAGGGAGGGAATTCCAGGATTTTGACCCAGCAACACTGAAGGAATGGGGATATATTTCCAAATTGGGATGGTAAACGGCTTGGAGGGCAACTTGTTGGTGGTGTTCTCATGTATCTGCTGCCTTTGTCCTTCTAGATGGAAGTGACAAAATTACTTTGGATTCCTTTGGTGAGAAATCTAGAACGAGGGATGCAATGTGAGGTGTTTGGTTTTTACATACTTATATCAGCTTTTTTTATAAAAAGAGTTTGGTATTCAAAATAATTGTGGTGTTTATTGTTATGAAGGGTTTTACAAAAAAAAAACTCAGTCCTTCCAGGACATTGACCTCATCCAGTATGTGCCTGAGAGTATGGACTCCTGGGTTGATGATGGAAGATTGTTAGTACAACACTGGAGTTAACATTGAGGGCTGTTGGCTTATTTTTGGTTCAGGATAAGCAGGGATTGATTTTGGTTTGGGAAACCCAGAGAGTGGATGTTTTTTGAGCAATTTTGGAGGGCAACTGCCTGGGCTCAGAAACATAATATGGATCCTTCCTAAGAAAGGGAACTGTCGAAGGAATAAGAGGTAACACAGCAGGCCAGGCAGCATCAGAGGAGCAGGAAAGTTGACGTTTCGGACCGGGACCCTTCTTCAAAAATGGGCTGCTGTGTTCCTGCAGCTCTACACTGTGTTATCTCTGACTCCAGCATCGGCAGTTCTCACTATCTCTGAGTCGAGGGAATAAGTTAGCTTTAATAGAAAGCTTTTAGCTTGTGAAACCTCTAGACAAGGAGTTTTTGGTTAGAAATCAGATTATTAAAAGACTGAGGAAGCATAAATTTTCTGTTTTGAGTGTTAATGTCAGAAGACTTCAAAGGAAGAATAGAGATAAATCAATTGAGTTGAGCTTAAAGATTTGAGATAGACTGGTGTTTTCACAGGATTGAAATGATGGTATTGGGGAATATTTTGTTTTATTTTACGTTTAAAGACTTCTCTAAACTCCATTCTATATTTAGATAATTTGGTTTGTTTTGTTCAGTCCCTTTTGTGTGGTGAGCATCTGTTTCTTTGTTAAAGAAAGGCTGTAGCTTTGAGTGCTCATGCCTCAGTGAGTTATAAGAAGAAAATGATCTATCAGGCCAGCTCTTGTTCTGAGTTCTGTCCTGTCCAGTAGTGACACCAGCTGGCTTCAGGCCTGTTGAACTTTTAACTTATTCCTTTATTTTCCTAGTTTAAAATACGAAAGACTTTAATGTAAACTATTGCCTATTTCTTTACTTCATTGAATAGTAGAAAAATAATGCTCAACTATTTAACTCTCATTTCTATTACTACCATAGTTTTATGTACCTTAATACCTAAGATGGTGTCATGTGTGGCAACATTATACACTTTTCACTGTGCTGCTGTACTTCTGTACTTGAGTACACATGACAACAAAATCTAAAATCTAAATCTAAATCAATGTTAAGGTTGGATCCAGGCCCAATAGATGTAAAATCAAGAAGCACTTGCTGATACAAAGGCAACATAAGTTTGGAACAAAAACAAAGTTGCTGGAAAAGCTCAGCAGGTCTGACAGCATCTGTGAAGGAAAAATAAAGAGTTCATGTTTTGGGTCTGGTGACCCTTCCTCAGAACATAAGTTTGGAATTCAGTCCAGCAAAATGCTATGGATACTGAATCAATTGGAATTTGCAGATGTGAGACAAATAGAATTTTCCTGAGTGACTACATCAAGGATTATGGAGAAAAATACAGATCAGCCCGATCTAATGGAATCATGGAATGGATTTGTGATGACGCTGTGGCTTTAAGAGGGGTGTTTTGTTCTGATTTCTTTTAGAGAGAGAGTGGGGGGGACAGGAGCTGAGCAGTCTCAGAGAAGATACACAGTTTATGAAGCCTTGGGTGTTTTGTTTTTAATAGAAGCAGCCTGAATGGATGTGGTCAAACTCCCACCCACAGTTCCAGGGAGTTTGGGTTTGGCTTTCGGAAATTGTCGCTGGGGTCTCAGCAGGGTTGGACGGCAGTGAAGCTTTGCTGGCGGCTATTTTTCTCTCGCTTGCTCTTGCTCTCTTGCTCTCAGAATTGTCTTTTGACGTTTTTTCCTCCTGGATTGGAGAAGTGCATGTGAGACAATCTGTTTTCTGAATGTGCCCTTTGCCAAGGATGTGTTTATGGGATCTTACTATTTTGGAACAGTTACTGTTTAGTTGTACAATAATCCATTATTCTGTTAGGTTTTCCAATAGAGTTGTTATTCCAAGTTCCTCCTTTCTTGGTTGCATTTTAAATATAGTGTTTGAATAACTTGTGTTTTGGTTAACGTTGAGTGGTTTGACCAATCGAATTACGTCTGGAACACAGCACCTCACATTTACCTTTAAAATAAGAAAAAGTTAGGGTCTAGGTTACCTTCTTAATATATTTTGAGGTCTGGTCTGGCCCGTAACAGACCGAATGGGCTGAAGGTCCTTCCTTTATTCCTTGGGTAGCCAAACTTCAATGACGCTCTGTCATTCTGTCACACTGAGATCATTTGGCCCATTGAGACCCTGCTAGCCCTCTGTCAAAGAAATCCATTCAGTCCCATTTCCGCCACACTATCCCTGGAACCCTAGGTATTTACTTTCTTCAACTTCATATTGATATCAAAGAACAAAGAACAGTTTGGCCCAGGAACAGACCCTTTGGCCCTCCAAGTCTGTGCCAACACATTTTGCCCTTCCATACTAAAACTGCCTTTGATTACAGGATCCGTATCCCTCTATTCCCTTCCTATTCAGTAATTCATCCAGGTGCTTCTTGAATGTTGCAATTGTGTCTGCTTCCTCCACCACCACCACCTATGGCAACGCGTTCCAGGCCCTCACCACCCTTTTTGTGAAAAACTTGCCTCGCACATCTCTTTTAAACTTTCCCTCACTCCTTGAACCTTGTGTCCCCTAGTAACTGACCCCCCCCACCCTGGGAAAAGCCTTCTACTTTCCACTCTATCCATGCCATTCACAGTCTTGTAAACTTCTATCGTTACCCCTTTAAACCCCTGTGTTCCAGTGAAAACAAAATCAGTCTATCCAACCTTTTTTCATAGCTGAAATCTCCCATACCAGGCAATATCCTGGTAAATCTTTTCTGTACCTTCTCCAAAGCATCCACATCCTTCTGATAGTGTGGTGACCAGAACTGTATACAATATTCCAAGTGCAGCCTAACTAAAGTTCTATAAAGCTGCAGCATAACTTGCCAATCCTTATGCTCAATGCCCCTTCCAATGAAGGCAAGCATGCCATGGGCCTTTTTTTACTACCTTATCTACCTGCGCTGTCACCTTCAGTGATCCGTGGACCTGCACACCCAGATCCCTCTGCATATCAACACTCCTAAGGATTCTGCCATTCACCGTATAATTTTCACCTGTACTTGACCTGCATCACCTCACGTTTGTCTGGATTAAACTCCGTCTGCCATTTTTCTGCTCATGCCTTCAACTGAACTATATGCTGCTGTATCCTCTGACAATCCTCCTCACTATCCGCAACTCCACCAATCTTTGTATCATCCGCAAACTTACTAATTAGACCCAGCCATGTTTTGTTCATTCAGGCAGGTCGTGAGTTCCAAAAGTGATTCAAATCTCTGAAGTATTATTTTTCTGTGTAATGCATCTTTTTAATTTCCCTCCTGTATCATGGGGCTGCTGATCAGCGTGTAGCACAGACAGGATCAGACGAGCCTCCTACAAGTCTCAAATACCTGACAGCAGGGTGTCTCAGTAATGGTGACATGTCAATCTGCCTGAGACTGTAGAGCCCTGTGTTCAGAGGGAGAGTTCACTCTGTGTTTGATGATGAATAAGGATCAGAAGGCATTACTTTGACTTTTTTAACAGGGGCATGAAATGGATTCTTATCAATGTCTCCCTAGAGGCTTCCCTCTTTCCAAAGCCCAGTGAAAGATCTTGCTGTTCTGATTGGAAGCCTTCGTTGAACAAGGCAATTGCAATGTTTCGTTACCTGTCTTGCTGTTGTGACATTATTATTCATCTGTTAGTTCATAGAGCCCCTATAGTGTGGAAACAGATCATTCGGCCCATTGAGTCCACACCAACATCTCACTCAGACGTGCCCACGCTACCCTATAAACCTGTACATCCCATGGCTAATCTGCATAGTCTGCACGTCCCAGGGCACGATGGGTAATTTCTCATGTCCAGTCCATCTAACCTGCGCATCTTTGGACTGTGGGAGGAAACCCACGCAGACACCAGGAGAATGTGCAAACTCCACACAGACAGTCACCCGAGGGTGGAATCAAACCTGCGTCCCTGGTGCCATGAGGCAGCGGTACTAACCACTGAGCCACCGTGCCAACACTCATACCTGCTGGCTGTAGTGGATTAGCTATATCTTTCAATTCATTGAATTGTCCTTTTCAGAAGGCTTGGCCCTTGGCCCTCTGGACTGTTTCAGATTAATTTCCTTGGAGAAAGTTGTGTTTTGTAGCAATGGTCTTGGGCACCAGGGTCTTCCACAAGTGAATTGCACATTCTCCACCTGAGGCAGTCCCTCAGGATCGAGGAGGGTTTGCTTTGGGGTTTGAGATGGCCGCTGAGGCGAGCATGGGATCTGCATGTGGCACACGGTCGAGCGAATGAGGTGTTTGGAGATTAGTGAGCTCTCTCTAACCCCCTCCACTCTTTTTGCTGCTGTATCGCCCAACAAGTCTCAGAACGTAGACTCAAACAGGACAGGAGGAAGCCATTCAACCAACCATCTGCACATCGGTCAACAAAGATCTGATTGCACTAATCCCATTTTCCAGCTCGTGACCTTAGCCCTGGAAGCTACGGTGCCGCAAATGAATATTTAAATAATGCTCGCACATTGTAAGAGTTTCTGACCCAACCACCCTTTTCAACAGCAAATTCTACACTCCCACCATCTTCTGAGTGAAAACATGTCTCCTCAACTCTCCTCTTAACTTTTTACCTCTTTAATTTAAATCTGCCCCCTGTTTTTTTTTTTCCTCCATTCATTTGTGGGATATGGGTGTTGCTGGCTGGTCAGCATTTCTTGCCCATCCCTATTGAGAAGGCGGTGGTGAGCTGCTTTCTTGAACCGCTGCAGTTCTCCTGCTGTGGGTTGACCCACAATGCTATTAGGGAGGGAATTCCTGGATCTTGACCCAGCGACGCTGAAGAAATGGTGATATATTTCCAAGTCAGGATGGTGAGTGACTTGGAGGGGAATTTAGAGGTGGTAGTGTTCCCATATATCTGCTGCCCTTGTCCTTCTAGATAGATATGGTTGGGGTTTGGAAGGTGCTGTCTGAGGATCTTGAGTGAATTTCTGCAGTGTATCTTGTAGATAGTGCACACTGCTGCTACTGTTATTGATATCTCTACAAATGGAAAATGCACCTTATCTACTCTATTTATGTACCTCGTGTTCTTATACATTTCTCAACTTATGGAAAACAACCCCAGCCTATCCAATCTTTCCTCACAGCCCAAGCAGCGTCCTGGTACACAAAAACAGAAAGTGCTGGAAAAGCTCAGCAGGTCTGGCAGCGTCTGTGGCAGGAAATCAGAGTTAACGTTTCAGGTCCAGTGACCCTTCCTCAGTTCTGAAAAACGGTAACACTGATTTCTCTCCACAGATGCTGCCAGACCTGCTGAGCTTTTCCAGCAATTTCTGCTTTGTTTCTTATTTCCAGCATCCGCTGGTCTTCTGGTTTTTATTTAGCATCCTGGTAAATTTCCTCTGTAGTGTGATCACGTCCTTCCTATAATGTGGTGACTAGAACTGCACACAGTGCTCTAGATGTGGCCAAACCAGCATTTTGTAGAATTCCAGCATCACCTCCCTGCTCTTGTTATTAAGTGAAGTGCAGAATACAACAAGCAAACAGCTGTTGCCTTAACCAACTTACCTATGTGTTCTGCTACTTTCAGGGATCTGTGAATATGCATACCAAGGACCCCCGATCTTCAGTATGTTTCAGGGTCCCATGAGAGTGTCTTGTTAACCCTCCCCTTTATATTTGTCACTACTTTGCCTACCTGACCAGTCCGTTGCTATCCTCTTGTAGTTTATGACTCATTCTTTACCACCCTAACCAGTTTTGTCATCTGTGAACTTCTTGATTATACCCCCTATGTTTGTGTTGATGTCGTTAATTTATGCCACAAACAGCCAAGGCTCCAGTGCTGATCCCTGTGGAACCCTACTGCAAACAAACTTCCAGTCACTGAAACATCCCTCTCCCAATAACCTCTGCTTCCTGCCTCTTAGCCAGTTTTGTATCCCAGGGTTTCTGTTAGTTTCTGGACCAGTCTGCCAAGGGGGAAGCTATCAAAAGCCTTGCTGAAATCCATGTGGACCACAAGATACAATATCCTCATCAACATGCCTGGTTACCTCCTTTAAAAGAAGAGTAGATTAAAATTGTTAAATTGCTTTAATCCATTATAACAATGCTGCTGCACACTGCTAAAATGCAATTACGGCCACACACACGCACGCACACAAACACACGACTCTTGGCTCCATCGCTAGGCAAGTGTACAACTGAACAACAAAGGTATACAGTCACTTTGCAAAAGGTACACACCAATGTTGCAATTTGGTAGAGAATGATATGCCTACATTCCTGGATAACTGTCAACTTTCTTATTTCATAGGATCCCTACAGTGTGGGAGCAGGCCATTCGGCCCGTTGAGTCCAGATTGACCCTCCGAAGAGCATCCCGCCCAGACCCACCCCATCAACCCTGCATTTCCCATGGCTAACCCACATAGCTTGTGTATCCCAGGACACTGGGCAATTTAGCATGGCCAATCCTCCTAATCTGCACATCTTTTTAGGGCGGCACAGTGACATAGTGGTTAGTTTCCTCCCACAGTCCAAACATGTGCAGTCTAGGTGGATTGGCCATGCTAAATTGCCCATAGTGTTCAGGAGTGTGTAGATTAGGTGGGATATAGGGGGATGGGTCTGGGTGGGATGCTCCAAGGGTTGGTGTGGACTTGTTGGGCCGAAGGGCCTGTTTCCACACACTAGGAATTCTATTCTATCTTTGGATTGTGGGAGGAAACCGGCGCACCCGGAGGAAACCCCCACAGACACGGGGAATGTGCAGATTCCACACAGACAGTCACTCGAGGCTGGATTTGAACCCGAGTCCCAGGTGCTGTGAGGGAGCAGTGCTAACCACTGAGCCACTGTGACGTACAGGTGTGAGAGGCTGGACACAGTTTCCTGTAATTGATTTTTGTTTATTTGGGCTGGATGCCAGGTTCTTCTTGTGGAATTGATCATGCATTTCTAATCTCTATTGCACATTTGTTTTTGAATTTGCAGAGTTTATCGTCATTCACAATGGCATCATTACGAACCACAAGAATTTGCGAAAGTTCCTGGTGAGTGCTCAGCAGCCCTGAGCTTTCAATGCAGTCTTACTTTGCAGAATCTACTTAATTGCTGTCCTAGATGTTCTTTCATTTGGCAAAAGCTATTAAAGTTAATTTCGGAGCAGACATCTGAAAGCACTTCAGGAAATTAGGTTTCATGTAGTTTCTGCAGGACAAACATCCTGATGGTGCTCCTGTTTTTTTTCCCCCAAAATCATCCCGCACCTCCAAGTAACATTTTTACATTGTCTCTCTCATCTGCTGTTTGGGGGCTGTGCAGCAATATTTCTGCTCCGTTCTTCTCACTGGATTAGTGCTCTCATTGGATTTCAGCCAGCACTGACAGAATGGGCTGAATGGCCTTTTTCTGTTTTGTATCTTTCTATGGTCCTGAATGATTCAATCACTTTCAGTTTGTTGTAGCTGGATGGCTGGTTTTCAATGCAGTGTGATGCCAACAAAGAAGGGTTAATTCGCACATTGGCTGAGGTTACCATGAAGGATTCTCCTTCTCACCCCCTCCCCTCTATTGAGGCGTGATGACCCTCAGGTTAAACTCACCACCAGTACCCCCCCTCTCAAGAGAGCAGCCCATTGGTCTGGCAAGACTGTGGAGCCTTCATCTTTTTATGATTCCATAATGCACAGACTTTCTTCAAAAATTGACCCTTAAGTTGATTATTTACCAATACTGAGGCGGTTATAGGATTATATTGCAGCTTGGAATGTGTAGTGTTAAAACATTCTGCACTGTATTTGGGTTGCACTCTGAATAAGCAGACTTGTTTGTAGTGTAGACATGTGTACATTATAGTTTGCAAAATAGAGGGCTGCGTGCTGCATTAGGTTCTCTGCTACCGTGCAGCTGCTCAACTCAGTTTTGATATTGTTCAAGTCACTATGTCAGTTTTGGGATTTCCCTGTTACTCTGCTGTAATGGCATACCCTGTTGTCTTTAGGGTGAAACATTAAATAAGGACTGCGGATGCTGGAAATCAGAAACAAAACAGAAGTTGCTGGAAAAGCTCAGCAGGTCTGGCAGCATCTGTGGAGAGAAATCAGAGTTAACGTTTCAGACCCATTGACCCTTCCTCAGAACTGATGGTAGCTGGGGAAAGATAGGTTGGGGGCCGAGAGGATAGCGAGTAAATGATAGGTGGGAATAGAAGCCAAAGAGAGAGAAGAACAGTTGGACAGACAAAGGAGTGGATAACAATCAGTTTGGGAGAATGAATTAGTGAGCAATTAATGGCTAACAATGGGTTGTGTGCAATAGTAGACCATGTGATAGCAAGGCCTGGTGTGTGTGGGTTGGGGTAAGGGCGTGGGAGAAGGTGCCTCAAGCCTTAAAATTGTTGAACTTGATTTTGAGTCCAGAAGGCTGTAGAGTTCTCAAGTGGGAAATTAGGTGTTGTTCTTCCAGCTTGCACTGAGCTTCACAGGAGCATTACACTGAGAGATGTTGGCCAGGGAAATGGCAGTGTGTTGAAGTGGCAGGCAGCTGGAAGCTCAGGCTCTTTTTTGTTTTAGCGTACATAATGTAGGTGTTCTTGTAATGAAACATTAAATAGTCATTTATTGTGAGATTTTGCTGTGCACAAGCTACTGTTTACGCAGCAACAGTGACTGCAGTTCAAACTAAGTCATTGCTCAAGAGGTGCCTTGATGGGTCTGAGTTTACGGAAGGCAATGTATCAATGTCTGACTGTTTATCCTCTTGGTTTGATAAACCAGGGTAACTGAGGTGATGGCACCTAAGCAGATTTGTCGGGGGGAATGTTGCAAGTGACCCTGTCCAATCTACTCAACAACATTAAGTTTGGACATACAGCGTCGCTGACCTATGTGCAGACCCTGTCTTTTGTCCCTCTAGTGGTTTGAACCTTATTCCCTTAGAGTGTCTGCTGTTTGGAATTCTCTCCCTAGAGCACTCCAACACACTGTCCTCCACATCTGAAACACTGTCATTCAGGCAGCTGTTCTGCTGCTGCTCCAAATATATCTCATCCTGACTTAATGTTGACTTTTACTTCCTACACCTTCCACAGAGCACCCTGATGCACTCCCTACGCAGATATTCCAACTGTTACTCTTGGGGCCATTAACTATTTCTTGTGCTTTGACCTTCAGGAGAGCAAAGGGTATGAGTTTGAGTCTGAAACAGATACAGAATCGATTGCAAAACTGATCAAGTATGTCCATGATAACAGTGAGAATGAGAACATCAGCTTTGCCACCCTGGTTGAGAGAGTCATCCAGCAACTGGTAAGTGGTTGTCATTTGGAGACACATTTGCTGCTTTCAGGTTAAACAATATTGTGGGGGATGGGATTACATTCTGTGCTTAGAAAGATAAATGATATCAAGTAGCTGGCATGTCACATAGTGCCCTCAGATTGTAGTGTATTTTATACAGAGATTGACATCAATAGTCAACAGGGGACAGGAAGTAAGGCTGAGATCTGCTTTGTCAGAATCCTGTGCACTTTGAGCAGTGCCAAATGTTCTGGCTGAACTGCAAGTACTGTTTCAGCAAACAGTAATGTCATAGAAACGTACAGCACTGAAACAGGCCCTTCACCCCAACTCGTTCATGCTGATCAGATTTCCTAAACTGAACTAGTCCCATTTGCCTGTGTTTGGCCCATGTCCCTCTAAACCTTTCCCATTCATGTGCCTGTCCTAATGTCTTTTAAATGTTGTAATTGTACCCACCTCTACCACTTCCTCTGGCAGCTCATTCCATACACACACCACCTTCTGTGTGATAAAGTTGCCCCTTAGATCCCTGTTAAAATCTTTTCCTTCTCACCTCAAAACTATGCCATCTAGTTTTGGACTCCCCTACCCTGGGAAGCAGACCTTGACTATTCACTCTATCCATACTGTTCATGACTTTATAAACCTCTGTAAGGTCACCCTTCAGCCTCCGATCCTCCAGGGAAAAAAGTCCCAGCCTATTCAGTGTCTTCACTGCCAACACACTTGACACAGGAAAAAGCTCCAACCACACTTTCAGGTAGGGAATGGGAGGAATGTTATGGGTCATTTACACATCTGGATGGGGAGAACCAGCTGCACTTTCCACACTGAAAGAGGCCTTCTGAGAACTGAAATTTGGATTTGTTTTAAGCATTTCTTTTTATCTTCCCCTGGAATTTGTCTGTAATAAATAGGCATTTCTCTGGCTCCTTGCTCTCTCTCACTCATACACCTACAGGAGAATTCTCTAAAAGAAACTGTAGTTGCACCGAATTCACCAGAAAGTTTGAGCTAGTGTGCCTTTAGGACCATAGCGGTGAACAGCTTCTGCCGTAGCTTGTGAACTTGATCGCCTCACGTTTGATTCAGGCAACTGAGGGGCATCAGAAGTTCAGCAGTGCGCAGTGTATTTGGGGCAGCACGGTGGCTCAGTGGTTAGCACTGCTGCCTCGCAGCGCCAGGGACCTGGGCTCGATTCCACCCTTTGGCAACTGTGTGTGTGGAGTTTGCACATTCTCCCCGTGTCTGCTTGAGTTTCCTCCGGGTGCTCCGGTTTCCTCCCACAGTCCAAAGATGTGCCGGTTAAGTGGATTGGCCACGCTGAATTGCCCACAGTGCCCTGAGATGGGCAGTCTAGGTGGATTAGCTATGAGAAATGCAGGGTTACAAGAATGGGGTAGGTGGGTGTGGGTGGGATTGTCAGAGGGTCAGTGAGAACTCAATGGGCTGAATGGCCTGCTTCCACATTGTAAAAATTCTATGATTTACCTGAGCTGTTTGTCGATGGCAACATTGGCTAGGATCAGGTCACTTTATTCTCAGATCAGCTCCAACACCCATAACAATTGTTTGGTAAAATATGTTTTAATAGGAAATGATTGATAATGTAATGATGATGGTACTGGACTAATAATCCTGAGGTCCAACTTAATGCTCTGGGGAAATCCTACTAGAGCTACTGGCGGAGTTTCAATGCAGTTCAATAAATCTGGAATTGAAAGCTAGTGCCAGTGATGGTGATAGTGAAATTATCATAACTATTGCAAAAACATTAATCTGGTTCCCTGTTGTCCTTTTTAGTGAAGAGCCCATCCTTGCCTAATCTGGCTTGCATGTGACTCCAGACCCACAGCAACATAGTTAACTCTTACCCTGCTCTCAGTAAAGGCCTGGCAATGCCACTCAGTTCAAGGGCAATTAGGGATGGGCAACAAATGCTGGCCTTGCCAGTGGCATCCACGTCCCAAGAATGAATAAAAGGGAAAACAAACTGGAGAGTAGAAAGAAATCTTGATGGCTATCTGTGAATTTAACTGAGTGAAAATAGTTGTTTAAGGAACCCAATTTCTTTGAGAAAACTTAGTTTGCGAATACATTTTAAATGTATGTTGTTTTTTTTTTTTTTTGAAACAGGAAGGAGCTTTCGCCTTGGTGTTCAAGAGTGTTCATTTCCCAGGGCAAGCTGTCTGTACCAGGTAAAACACTCGGCCAGTATACATTAGGGACAAGTTTGCATGTCTTTTTTAAAAAAGAAACAGGCTTACTGAATGACAGCCAACTTGCTTTTATTCCATGCAGAAAATGTTGGAAACACTCAGTAGCTTCTGGGCAGTTTGGGATACGCAATAAGTGTGGCCTAGCCAGCAACACCCACGTTCCATGAACAAATGGAAATATGAGATTGGCAGCATCTGTGTCGAGAGTAAAACAAGGATGCTTTGTGTCAATGAGCTCTCATCAGTCCTGGGCGTGACGGGTCCCTGGGGTCAGTGCTAATATCCCTATGTTTCTAATCAACGCATCCATTTGGTCAAATTTCACTGTGCTAAAAGTCTGAAGCAGCAAAGGACTGAGATGTAATACAGTACAGAGTATTGCTAGGTGTTGCATTTTAAACAACAATGTGCATTTGTGTAGCCCTTGTTTAATGAGACTAAATATTCCCAGGTTCCTCACAGAAGTGTGGTGAAACTGTATTTGACACTGAGTCACGTAAGGCAATGTGAGGGTGGATAGCCAAAAGCCTGGTCAAGGAAGTGGTTTTAAGTAGCCTCTTAGACCTCTCCCTCCTCCTTTAGGATGGGAATTTCGGAGGTCAGGCTGCTGAAAGCATGGATCCCGTTGATGGAATAACTAAAGTTGGAGATGTTCAAGAGGAATTAGAGGAGATATTTCAGATCAGGAGGAGCGAAGCCGTGTATTTCAAAACCCAAGTGAGAATGTTAAAATTGAGGCATTGCTTAACCAGGAACCAATGTAGATCAATGAGAATGGGTTAAAAGCTAAATAAAGTGCCTCAGAAAACATTAATGTTTCAAACTAAGCCATGAGCACAGGCCCAGGGGATATAATGCAAATGGGTGAAAAGGTAAATTTATGTTTGCTGTCAGTCAGTACTTTTGAATTGCATGCTGATTGAACTGGAATGGTTTTTGTTTAAGTAGAGGGTGCAGAGAGAGAGAGACTGGTATTACTCAAGATGCAACAGAAAGATTTTATCAACTTGGTAGCCTTCCTCCCTTATTTGTGTTCCTCAGTGTGGCCGTTTATTAGATCATATATCCTTGAGTCAAAATGACAAAGGACACAAGTAATTTTATTTGCTACGTGGCCCTGAATGCAATAACAGCCTGTTCACAGCATACTTTCAGAATTCAGACCATGTTGACTACCAGAGTACTCCACTGGAAATCTGGATGGAAGGATTTTCTAAATGATGACCATTCTTGTCAAAATGTGTGTGTCTCTCTGTTAGAAAATCCACAGGAATGTTAGCAGAGTCTCTACCTAATCAGTCACTCTCTCTGTTTACCTCTGTGGTTGATGTGTATGTTTTTTGTTGTGGAGGTATGAGTAAGATAAACTAATCTCCGAGGGCCCAGCTGAAGTCTGCAAGGTTTGGTCAATGGAGCCTAAGACTAACAGAAACATTTTCAGGAAGCATTTGAATGCTTTAAAGTTACTTCTGTTCAATTTTTCAACGCAAATCTTTTAGAAGTCAGAGTTTCACTGCCCCTATAATCCTACAGTACAGCCTTTATTGCTGATTCTGTGCAGTAAAACCCTCATTTTAGCAAGGAGTCTCTTCTGATTTTTGTCCTTTCCCTTCTAATTTTTGGTATCAGTTATGAAATTATCCACTTTTTAACAATAGTGTAAAATATAGTTTATGTTTGGACATTTGGCATTTCTTAGAAGTTTTCTTTAATGATTTGTTGGAATGTGCACATTGGTGAGGCCACTTTTTTTTTAATCTCAAATTGTCCTGGTGCTTATGGTGGTAGTGAGTTGTTTTCTCGAACGACTGTGGTCCATAGGGTGTAGACACACCCCACAGTGCTGTTAGGAAGGGAGTTCCAGCTACAATCCAACTACAATAAATGAACCCTGGCACCCCCCCGCCTCCCCAAATACCTAGCCTTGTCACAGCCTTCCATGTTTGGTCCCAGCAAGCGCCAATCACTTTGTCTCCATCTGAGGGCCTCTTCCATTGTGCGGGTCCTGGCTAGCTGCAGCACCAGCAGTAACCACTACCTCTGGTTGGTGCTGCCTGGATTGGTGATGGGTCAGCCGCTCTTGGAGGTGGAATTGCCATCCTTAAAGGGGCAGTAGTGCTGACGGTAGGCAATGCCGTTGCCTAATGGGCATGCAGTTGCGCTTGGGGCTTCCAGAAAAGGCTGCAAAACGTTTGCCCCCTGCTTTCTGTGAGTTTGACTTTAGCCATGACCATGGCTGTTAAACTCAGCCAAAGTGTGCCAGGCCGTCTTCATCTCTTTCCTAGTAATGATACCTGCTTCCATGTCTCACCCTACATACTGCATCATGCTGTGATTCATTGAAGGGAAGGGCTTGTTTTGTCAGGAAAGATTGGTCAGGTTGGGCCTATATCTATTGGAATTCAGAGTCCTGTGGGGACTTGACAGGATGTTTCCTCTTATGAACTAGGGGACATACTTTTGAAAATAAGGTTATTCCATTTAAGCTAAAGATTAGGAGATTTTCTTTTCCCTCAGGGTCAATATTCTTTGGAATTTTCTTCCCCAGATAGCAATGCAGGCAGGATCATTAAAAACTTTTGAAGACTTGAGTTTTTGATTGACAAAGGACTCGAAGGGTAGAGAGGTAAAGAGCAAATTAGGATGGAGCCCACAATCCAATCAGCCATGACCTCTGCAGATTCAAGGAGTCGAGTCACCTACTCCAAATTCCTTGACTTTTTGTACTTGGCACTAAATATGCTTTACAGCACAATTTTAATAATGCCAGCTTTGTACTCTTGCTTCATGTTGTGCCCCCCATCTTGCTAAAGCTGGAATTCCAGAGCATCAAGTTTAAATTGATGATTAACTCTTTCTTTCTGGCTGTTTTGGTCTTCACCTTCACAATGATGTCTTATCCATCAGGAAAGCATGAATTGCGGTTGGAATTATGATGAGCTGGATTTAGCTGAACAGGCTCCTTGTTCATTCACACATTCTCCAGCCCAAAGAAGAAAAAGACTTGAGATGGTACCTTCCATGACCTCAGCATGTCCAAAGGTGTTTTACAGTCAATGAAGTGTTTTTATAGTCATCGAACATGGAAACAGACCCATGGGGCCAACCAGGTTTCCCAAACTAAACTAGTTCCATTTGCCTGCATTTGGTCCATATCCGTCTAAACTTTTCCTATTCATGTACCTTCCCAATGCCTTTTAAATGTTGTAATTGTACCTGCATCTACCACTTCCTCTGGCAGTTCATTCCTCACATGAGCCACCCTCGGTGTGAAAAGGTTGCCCTTCAGGTCCCTTTTAAATCTTTCTCCTCTTAGCTTATAATTATGCCCTCTAGTTTTGACCTTCCCCTAGCCTAGGGAAAAGACGTTTTTTGCTATTCGCCTTATCTGTGCCTCTCACGATTTTTATAAACCCCTATAAAGCCATTCCTCAACCTCCTATGCTCCAGTGTAAAAAGTCCCAGCCTCTTCAGCCTCTCTTTATAACTCAAACCCTCCATTCCCTACAACACCCTGGTAAATCTTTTCTGAACACTCTCCAGCTTGGTAATATCCTTTCTATAACAGAGCAACCAGAACTGGACGTAGTATTCCAGAAGAGGCCTAGCCAATGTCCTGCATGACCTCAATGTGACTTCCCAACTCCTGTACTCAAGGGTCTGAGCAATGAAGGCAACTAACCCAGTTTAACACCTTATCTGTGAGAGGGCAGCTATGACAGTGCTACACTCTATCAGTGTTGCACTGGAGTGTCAGTTTAAGATTGGATCTCAAACTTCAGGAGTGGAACTTGGATGTCTGTCTCCACCAATGCAAGCACCCTCTGCGCTGACACCATGTTGGTCCAAGTTTTCCCCTCTTTTTGGAGGAGGAGCACGAAACCCTCCTGGAGATGGCACATCTGAGTGTTTTGAACCTACCATTCCGCCTGAGGTAATTCACCACAAACCACACGAGATTTTCACACGGTCCTGAGATCCTTTCAGCTGTCTGCTCGGTTATGGAATCATTAGAGAATTGGCCGACTGGACTTAAGGTGGCCTTTCCAAGTGTTGGGGATGACTGGCATTGGAATTTCCAATCTTGACTCTCAAGCTCCCTTCTGAACGAAACGACCTGCCTAACCATCTCTTCGCACACCCCATTGTGAGGCATCTTCCATCCACCTTTCAAACATATCACCATCACCTCTACAGTGTGGAAACAGGTCCACAGCAACCCTCAGAGCATCCCACCCAGATGCATCCCCCTATAACCCACCTAATCTACACATCCCTGAAAACTGCGAGGCAGTTTACCATGGCCAATCCACCTAGCCCACACATCTTCGGACTGTGGGAGGAAACCCACGTAGACACCGGGAGAATGTGCAAACTCCACACAGACAGTTGCCCGAGGGTGGAATCGAACCTGGGTCCCTGGCGCTGTGAGGCAGCAGTGCTAACCACTGAGCCACCATGCAGCTTGGAACAGATGTGTTTGCCATTTACAATTAATTAAGAAGCCAACCTATAAATAATTAGATCTAGAAAGTATTAAGTTATTGTCCCTCAATCCCTGAAATGTTAGCATTTCTCTCATTTTGAGTTTTGAGTAAAGGAGTTGCTGCAGCTGAACAAGACATTGGTAAGGCCACATTTGGTGTACTGCACACAGTTCTGGTCGCCCCACTATAGAAAGGATATAATTAAGCTATGAAGTGTGCAGAAAAGATTTACTGGAATGCTACCTGGACTGGAAGGTTTGAGTTATGAGGAGAGGCTGGATAGACTGGGACTTTTTTCCCTGGAATGTAGGAGGCTGAGGGGTGACCTTCTGGAGGTCTGTAAAATCATGAGAGAAATAGATGCGGTAGATAGCCAACAGCTTTTCCCCATGGTAGAGAAGTCTAAAACTAGAGGGCATCGGTTTAAGGTGAGAGTGGAGAGATACAAAGGGTCCAGAGGGGCAGTTTTTCACACAGAGGGTGATGAGCATCTGGAACAGGCTGCCAGAGGTGGAGGTGATTACAATTTTGTTATTTAAGAAACATTTGGACAGGTATGTGGATGGGATAGGTATGGAGGGATATGGACCAAACGCGGACAAATGGGACTGGATTAATTGTGAAACCTAGGCGTCGTGGACCGGTTGGGCCGAAGGGCCTGTTTCCACACTGTAAACCTCCATGACTCTGTTTTCTTTGGGCCCATCCCAGTGGACACATGCAGATTCTTTCCAACAGCTCTGGTAGTGCAGTCACAAATGACTCACGGACAGTTGAATGTCCTGTTTGGGAACAGAATGCAATGTGCCTTCAAATAGCTCACCTCTGAGTCAGGAAATTATGGCTTCAGGTCCCAGTCTGCAGAATTGAGTGTGTAATCTAGGCTGACCCTCTCTGTAGAACCGAAAGATTGCTTGCACTGTTGAAAGTGCTGGTTCCCAGGTAAATGTTAAGCCAAAGTTCTGCCTACAAACTTGGGTGGACATGGACAGTCTCTTGGCACTATTTTGGAGAATAGTTGGGAAATCCTTGGTGTCTTGATCTACATCTACCTCTTGATAAACAACACCAAAGTCAGTGGTGTAACCTTGTTGCTGAAGAATTGGCAATTTGACTCCAGCAGGGAGTACCACTCAACATATTTCATTGATGTATGGGTACAGTTACAACTTTTAAAAGACATTTTAGACAAGTACATGAACAAGAAATGTTTGAGGAGATATGGGCCAAGCTCAGGCAGGTGGGACTAGTTTAGTTTGGGATTATGGTCGACGTGGACTGGTTGGACCGAAGGGTCTATATCCGTGCTGTATGACTCTATAAGTGGATTTGAATGATCGTACTGAATTGTGGGGCAGCTCCTGGCTCCTAAACCTTCTGTTCTTATTTATTCTTGTTTTCTAAAGTGTCACTTGTAGACATCACAAATGGAATGTTTAATGCTGTTATCTTTCTTCTATTTAGAAGGGGAAGCCCTCTGATGATTGGTGTAAGGAGCAATCACAAACTTTCAACAGATCACATCCCAGTTCTGTATCGTACATGTAAGTACCAGTGGAGCACTCAGAATTGCTCAAATTCTAGAGATTAATGTTCCAGAGAGATTGATCCAGAGACCTAGGTCATGTTCTGGGACCCGAGTTTGAATCCCACTGTGACATATGGTGGAATTCGAATTCAATAGAAATACCTGGAATTAAGACTCTAATGCTAACCATGAAACTATCTTTGATTGTCTGGAAAAACCCATCTGGTTGACAAATGTACTTTTTAGGGAAGGAAACTGCAGTCTTTACCCCATCTGGGTCTGTGTGTGACTCCAGACCCACAGCAATGTGGTTGACTGTTAACCACTTAGGGATGAGCAATAAATGCTGGCCTAGTCAGTGATGACTGCTGGAACAAAAACAAAGTTGCTGGAAAAGCTCAGCAAGTCTGAGTTCTGAGGAAGGGTCACCGGACCCGAAACGTTAACTCTGTTTTTTCCTTCACGGATGCTGCCAGACCTGCTGAGCTTTTCCAGCAACTTCTGTTTTTGTTCCTGATTTGCAGCATCCGCAGTTCTTTTGGTTTTTATTCACTGACTACATCCTGTGAATGAATTTTTTAAAAAAGTTGAGACTAATTTATCGAGTACCTAAAGATATAGTATCATGTATCACAATATTGGCCCGGGTATAACAGACTTGCTGTCAAAGCTTTTCACATTTTACTCACCAGAACAGAATTGCAGAGATGCCAATTATATCTTTCCACAGAAATAACCAGCTTTCTGTACCAAGTGGCTGTTTGTTTTTTTTTTTATTTCATTAGTTCAGTAAAACATGGCCAGAAAAGCCTCTTGGTTCAGGACTCACCTTAATAGGCCTCAGTGTTCTGAACAAAGGAAATGGAATTGCAGTGGTGATGGTGAAATTCTAAGTATGTCCAGCAGTAGGATCACTGAACACAAGTTAGAAGCACACTAGAGATAGCAGGAACTGCAGATGCTGGAGAATCTGAGATAACAAGGTGTAGAGCTGGATGAACACAGCAGGCCGAGCAGCATCAGAGGAGCAGGAAGGCTGACGTTTCGGGCCTAGGCCCTTCTTCAGAAATGCTAGAAGCACGCTAGTGCTCTTGACGAAACTAACAAATTAAATGAAGGAGAAGTTGGGAGATTTGTTAAGTGTCTACTCTGAATACATCCTGGACTGCCAACTGATGACCCCAGTGTTGTCTGGAACAGGGTGTGTTTCTAACACCCTGGAGACTCCTCGACCACTGTACACAATAGTAATTTCCCCAGGCACCTTAGCATGTATCCGAAAAGAACTACACAGCACGAGTCTGCAGTCAGTGAACCAGGTCTCAACTTTATTTGAAGACCAGGTTAAGAGTTAAACTTGACACTTTTAACAACTCTATTTTTAACTATCCCAATTCTTTAGACACTTAAAATACTTTGCACATACTTGTAACTTTGCTGGTCTGACAAATTATTATATCTGAATAAAAACCAAAAGAACTGCGGATGCTGTAAATCAGGAACAAATTGTACAGTTTGTTTCTCTCTTCATGGGCGTGATTCTCTCTCTGGTCGAGGACAAGCTGCTCTGGTCACAGCTGTATCCCAATGTACCTCTAGGTAGGCTGGAGAGTGGGGGTACCCTGAGCCCTGCTGGGCTGGGTTCTTGTACCTTCCTGGTTGTCTTTTGGAACTTTCCAAGGAGTTGACCAATCAGATGTTGAATTAATTGGCTTTATCACTTTGAAATGCTGTTAATGGCTCTCGATGGCGTGCTTAACAGTGACCCCTTTGTGTCTGCTCTTGGGGGGCCTGGATGTCTGGTTTTATCCCAGAATATACACCTGGTCTTTTGTCTTACTGAGGCATGTCTGTCCCATGCATCTAGTGTTTGTTTGTTTGTCAGGAAGGTTTGAATTGTCCTTTCACACTTCCACATGTGTTCTAAATAACAACTGAAAGAACTGCGGATGCTGTAAAATCAGGAACAAAAACAGAAGTTGCTGGAAAAGCTCACCTGGTCTAGCAGCGTCTGTGAAGAAAAATCCGAGTTAATGTTTCAGGTCCAGTGACCCTTCCTCAGAACGGACCCGAAACGTTAACTCTGACTTTTTCTTCACAGATGCTGGTAGACCTGCTGAGCTTTTCCAGCAACTTCTGTTTTTGTTCCCCATGTGTGCTGGTGCCTCTCTGGTTTCAATTGTCTCAGCTTGGATCTTGCAAGGACTTGTCCCCAGACAGAATTGTCTCTTGTGTCTGTCTTGGCGCAGGCATTCCCAGCATACTTTGCTTTTTGGTCAGTTTTGATGCCCTATTTATTTCAGTTGCTGTGCCTGTATTTCTAGCCTCACTTTTAAATGATTTTTATTTCACTAGAGCAGTCACAGGCTGTTACACTGGTATAGTGAAGAGGCTGTGCAATCACCGTATTCATCAAGCCACCTTGCACATCTCTATTTTCTGGTCAGTAAACAGACCTTTTGGGTTCTTTTCCACTTGCCTCCTCTCACCTGTCAATGTTGTGCCTGTTAAGGTGCCCATCTGTTATCTGTTGATATTGCCTGGTTTGGAGTGTATTCGCTATAAGGAGAAGTTGGACAAATTTGGATTGTTTTCACTACAATGTCAGAAGCTGAGGGGCAACCTGATAGTCTATAAAATTATGAGAGGCATGGATAGGGTGGGATAGTCAAGTCTTCTTCCCCGTAGTGGAAATGTCAAATACTAGCAACGTAGGTTGAAGGTGAGAGGAGCAAAGCTGAGAGGAGATGTGAGAGGCTCGTTTTTTTACACAGCGGGTGGTAGGTGCTTGGAACACACAGCCCAGAGGAGGTGGTAGAAGCAGGCACAATAGCAACGTTTAAGAGGCCTTTAGACAGACACGTAACGGGCAGGGAATAGAGGGATACGGACTGTGTGCAGGCAGATGGGATTAGTTTAGAATGGCATCATGGTACGCACAGACATGGTGGACAGAAGAGTCTGTATTCTGTCTGTATTAAGATGTGGGAAAGGGCAAGGAGGTAATTCTGTTGTGAGTTTTGATGGAAAATATCTGAATGATTTTGCCAGGTAAAGAAGTGACAAAAACCTGCCTGGCTTCTCGCACCGATGACACCTCCTTGTACCCAGTTGGGGAAGAGAAGTCTGTGGAGTACTACTTTGCATCAGATGCCAGGTAAACCACTTGTTCACCCGAGCTCGGTTTAGCTAGACGTGTATAGTTGGGGAATTCCAGGAAAGGTAAGTGACTTGTAAGTGGGGTGCCGTAACTTGTTTGTGTGAGATGTCCCACCTGTGGATCTCCCACAGTGCCCCTGGTGTGTTGCATGAAGCCCATTCATACTGTTTAGCAGCCAAGAAAAAGCTTTGCTAATTGGAGTGAGTCTTTAGGCTGACCCCTCTCGTGCTCGCTCTGGGAAAATGGTTTAAGCCTGGAGTTACGTAATTGAAGCTTCTGGCTTCACGAATCCAACAGGGAAACAACTGGCGTTCATTGTTTAAGATTAGTTTGCATCAAAGTGCATCATCCTGAGCTTAACCGGTTTGTAGCATCAGAGGCAACAGTAAGTGCCTTTTCACACATGGGTCTCTCTCCTGTGCATTGCTCCAGTAAAGTTAGACCAGGTGTTCTTTAAAGAGAACAAAGACTTTTCATTCATCTTTCATGGGATGTGGACATGCTGCCAAAGCCAGCATTTGTTGCCCATCCTTGAGCTCTGTTTGAGAGGACAGTTCAGAGTTAGCCATCATTGATGTGAGTCAAGAGTCATAAATAGGCCGGATTAGGAAAAGTTGGCAGATCTCCTTCCCGAAACAACGTTCCTGGAACCAGGATAGACTTTTAACAACTCTTAGCTTGTCCGCTTTTATTGAGACTAGCATTTTAATTGCAGGTTTCATGTTAAATTCCACCAGCTGCCATGGTGAGATTTGAACCCGTCTTCCCCAAGTGTTGACCCAGCTCTCTGGATTACTTATCCAGGGCCATGACACCACACCATTGTCTCCCAAACAGCTTGTACAACTTTGTACGCGCCGTAATAATCTGCTAAATCAGTACAGCATCCAAGTTGCAAAGTCACATTGTTAAGGAAACATGTGATGAGATCAACCAGACTTCAGTCGTAGTGTGGTAAGGGCTATTTGCGAAATGGAGACTTTGACAAAATTTCAGGGTAAAGTGCTCAACTTTTTCTCGAATTGAAATTGAGAAGGATGGGCATTCTGACTCTTCCATCATTGGAGTTTCAAATAACTGGTTTTCATTTTGAGGTGCTTGGGGTAACCGCTCCTACTTTGTACACCTGTTCAGTATGTCCAGAGGTTATTGGAAATGTGGAGTGGCATGGTGGCTCAGGGGTTAGCACTGCTGCCTCACAGCGCCAGGGACCTGGGTTCGGTCCCACCCTCGGACAACTGTCTGTGTGGAGTTTGCACGTTCTCCCCGTGTCTGCGTGGGTTTCCCCTGGGTGCTCTGGTTTCCTCCCACAATCCAAAGATGTGCAGCTGAGGTGGATTGGCCATGCTAAATTGCCCATAGTGTCCAGGTATGTGCAGGGTAGGTGGATTACCCATGGGAAATGCAGGGTTATAAGGATAGGTTGGGAGGGTGGGTCTGGGTGGATTGCACTTCGGAGGCTCGGTGTGGACCTGATGGGCTGAATGGCCTGATTCTATAAGATACTGAGGATGTAGTTCGTTTGGCATCAGTTGACACTTTTTTAAAAATGAATAACAAATCTGGTGGCAGAAATGATGGCGTAGTGATAGTGTCATTGAATCAGTAATCTTGAAACTGAGGCCCATTCTCTGGATTCAAATCCCAATGCGGCAGCTGGTGGAATTTTAATGCAAGTAATAGTATCATCAGTTGGAACCATGAAACTATCAGTGATTGTTGTGAAAATCCATCTGGTTCACCATTGTCCTTGTTATGGAAGGAAGTCTGCCATCTATATCTGGTCTGGCCTACACGTGACTCCAGACCCACAGCAAATTCTTCATTGTTTTCTGAAATGGCCAAGCATGCCACTCCACTCAAGGGCAGTTAGGGATGGGCAACAAAAATACTGATCATACCAGAAAGTGCATATCCCCAGTGAAAAATAAATGATGTAATAAGTTGTTAAGGTGCAAAACTTAGCAAGGATTTCAATTAATTGGTGTTGCATTTTATATTTGGCTTCTTATTTCTTTTGGTCAATTAATTCGCGAGTGCACTAATGGTGGCGATGTGGGAGCAAGGTGGGGAAGGAAAGGCATGAGAGGAGGGCAAGCCTGAGAGGAGAGAGCACAGTGGAGTGTGTTAATGTTTAGTTAATCACATTCAGTTCATTAATGTCCATATAAGATTAAGAAGAAACAGGTGGAGGCTATTAATGGTCTGAGCAAATGTACATAGACCTGCTCCAGAAACGTGTAAAACATCTCTAAACCGGTTGATTAGAAAAGTAGGTTAAAATAAAAATAAGTACGTAGGGATGGGGGAGGGGGGCTCTAGTGGTGCAATGGTAATGTCCCACCTTTGAGCCGGGAAATCTGGGTTCAAGTCCTACGTGCTTCAGAGGTGTATCATAGCATCTCTGAACTGGTTGGTTAGAAAATATCTGTGTACGTGGGGAAGGGGCTCTTGTGGCGCAGTTGTAGTGCAATATACAGGTGGACTGGGAAAATCAGGTTGGTAGTGGATTGCAACGAAAGGAATTTGTGGAATGTCTACGAGATGGCTTTTTGGAGCAGCTTGTGGTGGAGCCCATTAGGGAACAGGGAATTCTGGACTTAGTGTTGTGCAATGAGGCAGACTTGGTAAGGGAGCTTAAGGTGAAGGAACCCTTAGGAGGCAGTGATCATAATACGATTGAATTTACTCTGCAATTTAAGAGGGAGAACATAGAATCGGGGTAATGGTATTCCAGCTAAATAAAGGCAACTTCATCAGTATGAGGGAGGAGCTGGGCAGAATTGACTGGGAGAGGAGCCTAGCAGGCAAGACAGTGGAACAGCAACGGCAGGAGTTTCTGGGAGTAATTCAGGAGGCACAGCAAAAATTCATCCCTAGGTAAAAGAATCATGGTACCGAGACGATGAAGCAATCACAGCTGACTAGAGAAGTGAGGGATAGCATAAAAACAAAAGAGACTATAATTGGCAAAGGGCAGTGGGAAACCAGAGGTTTGGGAAGCTTACAAAGACCGAGAGAGGGCAACAAAAAAAGAAATAAGGAGGGAGAAGATTAAATATGAAGGTAAGCTAGCCAGTAGTATAAAGGAGAACTGTAAGGGTTTCTTTAGATGTATAAAGGGCAAAGGACATTGGACCGCTGGAAAATGACCCTGGATAGATGATAGTTGGGAACAAGGAAATGGCTGAGGAACTGAATGATTACTTTGCGTCAGTCTTCACAGTGGAAGGCACAAATAATATCCCAAAAATTCGAGAGAGTTAGTAGGCATAGGTGAGTATGGTGGCCGTCACCAAGGAGAAGGTGTTAGAAAAACTGAATGGCCTGAAGATGGATAAATCACCAGGACCAGATGGACTACACCCCAGAGTTCTTAAGGAGATAGCTGAAGAGATAGTGGAAGCGTTAGTGGTGATCTTTCAGGAATTGCTAGAGTCAGGGAGGATCCCAGAGGACTGGAAAATCACTAACGTGACACCCCTGTTTAAAAAGGGAGTAAGACAAAAGAATGAAAATTACAGGCCGATTAGCCTAACCTCAGTCGTGGGTAAGATTTTGGAGTCCATTGTAAAGGATGAGATTTCTGAATATTTGTAAGTATATAGTAAAATAGGGCAAAGTCAGCATGGCTTCATCAAGGGGAGGTCATGCCTGACACATCTACTAGAATTCTTGGAAGAAGTAACGAGCAGGGTAGACCAAGGAGAGCCAATGGATGTTATCTACTGGACTTCCAGAAGGCCTTTGATAAGGTGCCACACAGGAGGCTGCTGAGGGCCCATGGTGTTAGAGGCAAGGTGCTAGCATGGATAGAAGATTGGCTGTCTGGCAGAAAGCAGAGAGTAGGGATGAAGGGGTTTTTCTCAGGATGGCAGCCAGTGACAAGTGGTGTTCCACAAGGGTCAGTGCTGGGACCACAACTTTTCACTTTGTACATTAATGATCTAGATGAAGGAACTGTGGGCGTTCTGGCTAAGTTTGCAGACGATACAAAGATAGGTAGAGGGACAGGTAGTACTGAGGAGGTGGGGAGGCTGCAGAAGGACTTGGACAGGTTAGGAGAGTGGGCAAAGAAGTGCCAGATGGAGTACAACGTGGGAAAGTGTGAGGTCATGCACTTTGGTAAGAAGAATAGAAGCATGGACTACTTTCTAAATGGGGAGAAAATTCAGAAGTCCTGAGGTACAAAGAAACTTGGGAGTTCTAGTCCAGGATTCTCTCAAGGTAAACTTGCAGGTTGAGTCAGTAATTAGGAAGGCAAATGCAACTTTGTCATTTATTTTGAGAGGACTTGAATATAGAAGCAGGGATGTACTTCTGAGGCTTCATAAGGCTCGTCAGGTCACATTTGGAGTACTGTATGCAGTTTTGGGCCCCATATCTCAGGAAAGATATGCTGGTCCTGGAGGGGGTTCGCGAGAATGGTCCCAGGAATGAAAAGTTTAACATATGAGGAACGTTTGAGGACTCTGGGTCTATATTCGATGGAGTTTAGAAGGATGAGGGGGGGGATGTAATTGAAATTGACAGAATACTGAATGGCCTGGACAGAGTGGATGTTGGGAAGATGTTTCCATTGGTAGAAGAGACTAGGACCCGAGGGCACAGCCTTAGAGTAAAGGGAAGACCTTTTAGAACGGAGATAAGGAGAAACTTCTTCAGCCAGAGAGGGGTGAATCTATAGAATTCACTGCCACAGAAGGCTGTGGAGGCCAGGTCATTCCATATATTTAAGACTGAGATAGATAGGCCCTTGATTGTCAAGGGGATCAAAGGTTACTGGCAGAAAGCAGAAGAATGGGGTTGAGAAACTTATCAGCCATAATTGAATGGTGGAGCAGACTGGATGGGCTGAATGGCCTAATTTCTGCTCCTATGTCTTATGGTCCCCACTGCTGGACCAGAAAGCCCAAGTTCAAGTCCCACCAGCCCCAGAGTTCTGCTTCTCTGAAGTGGTTGATTGGAAAGTATCTAGACACATAGGGAACAACTGTAATACCAGGGATTGGGAGGAGTTGTAAGATTGAGTAGTCAATAAATTTTGTCCACCAAGGTGGATGTCCCCGTCTCTGTCTCACCGACTGGCTTGGATCTGGATTGACAGTGTGAGGGCTATTTCAGGACGGTTCATAGTCCAGTGAGATCCCATCCACTCAGTTTATAACACAAGTGTATTCGGAAACTGTCATAGGAACAAAAAACTGGAAATCTAATACAAAAAGCAGAAAGTGCTAGGAAAGCTCAGCGGGTCTAGCAGCATCTGTGGAGAGAGAAACACAGTTAACATTTCGAAACTGGTAACCCCTTTTCAGAAAAGGGTTAATGTTACCAGTGCTCCGTACGTTCATTTTCCCAGCTTATAAATAACTGCCATCCCCTAGTAACAAGATTTATGTTGGCACAGTGGCCAAAACTATCCTGTAAAGTTGGTCTGTAAATACTTAATAACATCAATAACAGGATCAATTAAATATGTGATCATAACCAGAAGTTTGTGATTTATATTTCAGTCATCGCATCAATTTTTTTAAAGCCAGTTTGACCACCTGAGCAGCTAATGATCCACAAAATGGTGGAGGAGCGGGTTGTCAACTTGGAGAAAAGAGGGAATTCTGGGAAAGCATAAATGAGCTGGAGACAGAATGGAAAGGCTTCACTGGCTAAAGGGAGAAATTACTTTCTTTTCAGCTTATTTATGACAGGAACACCTGGTTGGATATCCTCGAGTTTTATGTATTTTTGCTTTAAAGCCATTTGTGGAAGTACTGTCCATGATGACCTGTGGTCTGGTGAGGAATGGGCAGTATGTTACCATGACGGTTGATTTTTTTTTTTTTCTTAACTCCCCCACCCCCCTCAGCGCCATCATTGAGCACACGAACCGAGTGATTTTCCTGGAGGATGACGACGTGGCAGCGGTGGTCGCGGGCTGCCTTTCGATTCATCGGGTAGAACGTACACCAAGCGACTGCCCAGCGCGTGGAATCCAGACCCTGCAAGTGGAGATGCAGCAGATGATGAAAGGTAAAGGCGAGACCAACCCGGGCAAAAGAAATAAAAAGCACAAGAGTATCGATCTAAAGTCGAGTGCGTAAGATGGGAGTGTGTGAAGTGCTTTCATAATCTATTTATTCACGGGACATGAGCGTCTCTGGCTAGGCCGGCATTTATTGCCCATCCCTAGTTGCCCAGAGGGCAGTTAAAAGTCAACCACGTTGCTGTGGGTCTGGAATCTCATGTAGGCCAGACCAGATGAGGATGACCGATTTGTTTCCCTAAAGGACATTAGTGAACCAGATGGGTTTTTCCGACAATCTGCAATGGCTTCATAGTCATCATTAGACTCTTCGTTCCCAATTTTTTTTTTAATATTGGATTCAAATTCCACCATCTGCCACGACTGGATTTGAACCCTGGTCCCCCGAAAATTACCTGCGTTGCTGGATTAATAGTCTATCAAATATACCACTAAGCCGTTGTTTCCCTTTCATAATACCCTTGAGGGAAGGAAATTGGCCATCCGTCAGTACCAAAAGTATGTTACCAACAGTAATATGGTTAACTCTTAGTCACCCTCTGAAATAGCCAGCCTGCTCAAGGGCACTTAAGGCTGGGCAACAAATTCTGGCCTTGCCACTGACACCAAATCCCAAGAAAAAAATAAATTTGCAAAGGTTTGCAGCAAGATTGGTAACTCCATTAAATCTAGCAGCAGTACAAAACAAAATCAGTAGGAGCTCAATGATGACCTGGAGGAGTTGGATGACCTTATTTTGTTCCCGCTGTGTCTGCATGCAAAACCTCAGGCATCTCAACAAGCCAAACGTTAGGAAACTGTCTGCCCACATTCTGCAATTTGTATCTTTCAGAACAAACTGATTCAACTATGTTTGTTGAGCAAGTATTTTATATAACGTTTGATGTGAGCATTGATCTTCACCGGTTTTTAATCCCTTGCTTCCTGGCCTTTTGCTGTTCTTTTTATTGCATGCTACTAGCCTTTCCTTTTTCAGACTGTCACTTTCATTTTAATTTCTACTGTCCATGATTTATGACCCAGTTCTTGGGAGGGAATGGTGTTGGAATTGAGCAGGATTTACTGATGCTGAGGATTACACTTCCAGAGGCAGAAGTGTGGTTAGATTCAACAGTAATTTTTAAAGCAGGAATTGGACTTAAACATGAAAGGGAAAAATTTTCAGGATGACGGGAAACTAGGATTATAATGGATTGGATAACAGTTTGAGAGCTTGCAGGAATATGATGGGCTGAATGTTCTCCTTTAAAGATGTAAGCACTTGCTGTAAGTGCAGTACCTGGTGTGTTATCCAGTTTTGGTTACGCTAGGAGTATTGTTTTCGGTCTCCCTAGTCAAGGGAGGTTCATCTTGACATTGATCTCATTAAAAAATACAAAATTCTTACAGGGCTCAAGAGGGTAGATTCAGAAAGGATGTTTTCCCTGATTGCAGTGTCTAGAACCGGGGAACATAGAATCATAGAATCCCTGACAGTGTGGAAGCAGGCTATTGGGCCCATCAAGTCCACACCAACTCTCCAAAGAGCATACCACCCAGACCCAACCCCCTACCCTATCCCCGTAACTCTGCATTTCCCATGGCTAATTCACCCAGCCTGCACATCCCTGGACACTATGGGCAATTTAGCACGGCCAATCCACCCTAACCTGCACATCTTTGGACTGTGGGAGGAAACCAGACCACCCAGAGGAAACCCGTATAGATATGGGGAGAACGTGCAAACTACACACAGATGGTCAGCCGAGGCTGGAATCAAACCCGGTTTCCTGGTGCTGTGAGGCAGCAGTGCTTGACATAAAGCTGCAATTTTTTTGCTTCCACGTTCTTGTATTAAATCAATTCTTCCAGACAATTTCACGGCCATGCTGCTTTTCTGCACGTGCACATTTGTTGCTCTACCTAGTGGCCACGCTGCTAGCATTGCCAAAAAAACCCCAGGCAAACACACCACAAAAGTGAAGACAGAGGCTAAATTTGTTGAATTTGATATTGAATGCAGGAGGCTGTGGAGTGCAGGGATGTAAGATGAAGATCCTTTATGCTTGCATTGAACTTCACTGGAAAACTGCGCTGACCGAGGACAGAGAGGTCAGAACAAGGTGGAAAATTAAAATGGCAAGCGACAGGAATGGCCCTCTAAGTGGACACCTAATCTATATCCCCACTGTAGAGGAGACCCTCGTGTGAACGGTCTATGAAGTAGTCTAGATTGAATCATCATAGAATCCCTACAGAGTGGAAACAGGCTCTTCGGCCCGATAAGTCCACACTGCCTCTCAGAGCATCCCACCCAGACCCATCCCCTATAACCCACCTAATCTACACATCCCTGAACACTACGGGCAATTTTAGCATGGCCAATTCACCTAACCTGCACATCCTTGGTCTGTGGGAGGAAACCAGAGCTCCTGGAGGAAACCCACGCAGACACGGGAAGAATGTGCAGACTCCACACAGACAGTCGCCCAAGGGTGGAATCGAACCCGGGTCCCTGGTGCTGTGAGGCAGCAGGGCTAATCACTGAGCCACTGTGCTGTCTTGCTGGAAAGGAGCGTTTCAGACATTTGATTGTGAATGGAGGCCTTTCCGATACCTATTGCCACTCCAACAATGACCATACTTCCAAAAATTATCTCTCTGACTGTGATGTCCTTTGGAACAATCCAAAGGTGCTGTGCGAATGCATGTTGTTCTTGTTAGGTTTCGCTCTCCTGGTCCGCCATTGCAGAGAGGGAGTCTGGTAGAGCTACAGTCGAGTGCTCATTAGCCAGTTGGCTTATAACAATAAACCCAGCAGCTTCTGCCATCCACACTCAGTTGCTACTTCACACACGCTCTGACATATTGATATATTTTTATGCCATCATTAGGAGTGTGATTTATTTTTTTTTTTTTTTTTTTTTTTGGTGATCCTCAAATTGCACATTCACCAAGCCACCATATCTGTAGCAGCTGAAGTGAAACCCACGGTAGGCATACCTTAAAAAGAGATGACGTTGTCATGCTTTAAGATGTTTGGATTGATTTTGACAGCGAATGGTATTCGCTGAATTATGAATGCTAAACAGAGACTTGGAGACATCTTGATAAATTATTACAAGCATAGCCTTGAGACTTGATCTTCTCACACCAACTCTTCTGATCTTTTATCATTAAGTATATTTTCATGTGATTATTCTGCCTGACCTTTTTTGTAGGCAACTATAGTTCCTTTATGCAGAAAGAAATCTTTGAGCAGCCAGAATCGGTGGTAAATACCATGAGGGGACGAGTCAATTTTGAAAATAACACAGGTAAGGGCCGATGCTTAAAAGTTCAAATATATGTTGTGCTCTCTGGGTGCACTGTAGTTTTTCAAATCTGTCGCGCACACTTCTACAAGAGTTAATTGTAAATGCAAAAGAGCAGATTGTGTTGGGATTTCTGGGAAGAAGTAGAGAGGGAGAGCTTTTGTTTTTGTCCCATATCTTCGCAGGCTCACTCTTGTTATGTTTGGAGATGAGTGGGGAGAGATTTAGAGGATTTCTGGCTGATCATCAGCATGTTGAATCTCATCGTCAACTCTCCTTTTGTCAGGCCTAATGAGTAGGTGAACCAGAGACCTCTGGCCCAGAGGGAAAGATGCTACCATTGCATCCGCAGCAGCCCCATTTACCCCCCCACTTGGGGCAGAGTGAACCAGTGGACGCCTGTCCCTTTAAGAAACGTTTGAACCGAAAACAATGTGTCATATGAGGATAATTTTTGTATTTTTTTTAAAAAAAGATGCAGTTTTTTTTGTAACATGCTGTTGGACTGTTATTAACATTGTGAAAGCAGCTGTTCCCCCATCCCAAGGTGCCCTGTGACTCCATACGGAGGAACCTGTTTTCTTACAGGAATGAGTAAGTCATTTTGGATTTTGATGCCGATCTGGGTCATTGCCATAAATAGGGATCCCTAGTGGCAGTTAGCCAACATGTCACAAACGTACTTTTTGATGGAGTTACAATTATAGAAGACCCCAGTGTTGAAAGAGGCCATTTGGCCCATCAAGTCCACACTGACTCTTGAAGAATATCCCACCCAGACCCCCACCCCCGACATTTCCCACTCCTTATCTACCCAGCCTGTACATCTCTGGACACTACAGGCAATTTAGCATGGCCAATCCACCCAACCTGCACATCTTTGGACTGTGGGAGGAAACTGGCGCACCCGGAGGAAACCCACGCAGACACTGGGAGAATGTGCAAACTCCACACAGCCTGAGGATGGAATCGAACCCGGGTCCCTGGTGCTGTGAGGCAGCAGCGCTAACCACTGAGACATTGTGCTGTCCTAGATTCTTTTAAACTCTAGTGAATATAGTATGAACTGATCCAGTACTTCATCTATCAGTACTTGCAGCCCAGGAATCAGTCTGGTAAACGTTTGTTGCAGCTTCTCCATAGCCAAAATGTCTTTCCTTCACTAAAGAGACTGAAATTGCCCACAAAACTCTAGATGTGGTCTCGCCAAGGCCCTGTACGGTTGCAGCGAAACATTCCTGCTCCTGAACTTGAATCCCCTCCCTGTGAAGATCAATTGCTGCCTTCACTGCCAGCTCACTTCAGTGACTCGTGTACAAGGACACTCCGGTCTTGTTGCATCCACCTCTTTCCCAATCTATCACCATTTAAAGAATGTTTCTCCCTGTTTTTGTACCAAAGTGGATAACCCCTCATTTATTCACATTATAGTTCGCCTGCCATGCGTTTAGCCGTTTCTTCAATGTATCCAATCACATTGAAGGCATCTCTGCATTCTCCTCACAGCTCACCCTCTCACCCAGCTTTGTGTTGTCTCCAAACTTGGAGAATTTACATTTGAGAATAGCTGGTATCCTTGCACTGCAGTACTCCACTAGTCACTGCTTCTCATTTAGAAAAAGACCTGTTTATTCCTGCTCTTTGTTAGCTGTTTGTCACTCAGTTTTCTATCCATGCCTGTACTCTACCCATAGTCCCTTCCACTTTAATGTTACATGCTAATCCCTTATGTGGGACCTTACCAAAATCCTTCTGAAATGCCAAGTAAACCACATCCACTGGCTCCCCCATATCAACTCTACTAGTGACATTCTCAAAAATTTCCTCACTGAAGGTGATGAATATTTGAAATTGCCTACCCCACAGAGTTGTGGATGGTTAGTCACTAGTTATGTTCAACACAGAATGTACAAATGTCTAAATATTTTTTTAAAAATCAAAGGAAATGGAGATAGTGTGCAACAATAATGTTTGGATAGAAGATCAGCCATGATCTAGCTGGGTAGCTGTACAGGTTTGAGGGACTGAATGTCCTATCGCTGCTCCTGTTTTCCATATTTTATATTGAGATGTCAAGTTGTGTCTGTACATTACTTAGGCTATCTTTGGAATACTGTGTTCAATTCTGGTCTCCCTGCTATAGGAAACATATGAAAAATGATGTGAAATTTGAAAGGGTTCAGAAAAGATTTACAAGGACATTGCTAGGGTTGGAGGGTTTGACCTATAGGGAGAGGCTAAATAGATTGGGGCTATTTTCCCTGGAGTGTTGGATACTGAAGGATGACCTTGTAGAAGTTTATAAAATCAAGGGGCATGGATTGAGTGAATAGCCAAGGTATTTCCCCAGGTTGTGGGAGTCCAAAACTAGAGGGTATAGGTTTAACGTGAGAGGGGAAAAATTTAAAAGGGAGTTAAGGGACAACTTTTTCCACACAGGAGGGTGTTTGATGTAAGGAATGAACTGCCAGACAAAGTTGTTGAGGCGGATACAATTGCAACATTTAAAAGGCACTTGGAGGATATATGAATAGGAATGATTTAGAGGGATATGGGCCAAATGCTGGCAAATGGGACTAGATTAATGTAGGATATCTGGTCAGCATGGACGAGTTGGACCGAAGGGTCTGTTTCCGTGCTGTACAGCTCTAGGATCCTATGTTCCCGTGATCAAATGTGACGGAAGCTTCAGACTGATCATTTTGTGAATGGCACCAACTTGTTCCAGAATCCCAACGACCCAATTTGAACAGACCCATTCTGTAAACGGTGCTTGGGTTGGTGACAGCATATTTGAGATGAAGGTGTGGGCTTTCTCTTTTGATTGGTGACCATGCACAGGGGGATTGCAATCTCGAGTTTCACCGCCATTCAGAGGAGGCTGAGCATTTGTTTGCAGCCTCATGACATCATGCAATTTGGTCAGTATGTTTTGTTCAGTCTTAGTTTTGTAACTTGTTTCTCTCCTGTCTCTTAGTGATCCTCGGTGGACTGAAGGATTCAATTAAAGAAATCAGAAGGTGCAGGCGTTTGCTAATTATCGCTTGTGGAACAAGTTATCACACAGGACTGGCGGTATTCTCCTGTTTCTGGCTTTGGAATCTCATCTGTCTCTCGTGTGTTTTCCTGTCCTGCAGTTCAGACAGGGGCCAGCAGCCTCTTCATTGTGGCGTTCATCTGGCAGTGCCAAAGAGGTGCCCACTACATCCCCATGAGCTCCAGCATCTGCATGAGGCCTTGTGCCGTTGGCAGAGCCATATTCCTAACCAGCGACTGGGGCTTGTCTGGTAGGCCGTGCCAATGCCCCTCCACTCTCCAACACCTGTCCCCACCCCGCCCCGGCATCTCTGAGTGTACGTGTCCCAGCATTTTCCTTTTACTCCCCAATAATCTTTTTCTTTAAATTCATCCATGGGATGAGGGTGACGCTGGCTAGGCCATCCCTAATTGCCCAGGGGGCAGTTAAGAGTCCACCACATTGCTGTGAGTCTAGAGTCACATGTAGGCCAGACCAGGTAAGGATGGCAGTTTCCTTCCCTAAAGGGCATTAGAGAACCAGATGGGTTTTTCCAACAATCATCAATGGATTCATGGTCATCATTAGATTCTTAATTCCAGATATTTATTGAATTCAAATTCCACCACCTGCCATGGTGGGATTCGAACTTGGGTCTCCAGAACGTTCTCTGGGTCTCTGGATTAACAGACCGGCAATAATACCACTAGGCCACCGCCTCCCCCTACATCCTTTTCGGAGCCCCTGGCAGCAGATGTGAGTGGGCACCTGCACCCTCTGGGTGGGCTGGCCTATCTCTCAGGTCGATGCCTGACCCGATCCTGACTCAAGTAGTCATGCAGTGTGGTGGCTGTGCATCTTCTGTGGAGCTGCTGTCCTCTGTTTACCCTTCCATGTGGTGGTGCAGGGGGTGCCCGTGACGACCAGAGATCCCAACAACAAGATGAGGTGCGGAACGTGAGGTGGGGAGGAAAACGGAAGGCCCATAATCACTCCATCGTGACATACTTGATGAGGATGAGGATGGGGAGCTGATCGAGGAGGGGCTGGAGTCAGAAACTAGCTGTCTCCAGGCGGGTAGCACCAGCTTCATTACCATGGTGCCTGTAACCCTCCAAGCCAACGGATTGAGGGCACTGAAGGCTTGGGTCTTTGGTGCTATACCCCCCTCCTCTGTTCATACACCAGATGGGGCAAAGAGAGGGGAACAGATTGTCTGTGGTGGTGTGTCTCTGGGTTTCAGGGATGATCTAGTCAGGGAGAGGTGTTTGTGGGGCTGGCAGGATTAGAAGGTGTGTGTGTGTGTGTCTGTGTGTGTTGCCTTATCTTGGCTGTGATGCCAATGCTCTGGGTTTTTTTTTTTTGGCAACCCTTGCTACTCACTCCATGCTCTCTACAGGTTGGGTCCTGTTCTCTTCCCACTCCCAGTCCTGGCCTTGACCTCTTCACAGAAAGTCCAAGTTGGCAGTGCAAAATCCAGGCAGCGCTCCGCTTCTCTTGATGCACCATTGCTCTCGCTGAATGGCAAAGATTTTAGTGGCTCACAGTGCATTGCTGTTACCCTCTTTTCAGAAGGACTGTGTATCTTTGTAAAATCTACAGGGTGCACCCAAGTGGAAACTGCGACTTATTCCAGTGATAACCATTGGGTGGGTAGACAGATTTTTGTCTTATTCACCTCATTTCCAATGGGCACAGTCACCCTCCAAATCATGACCAAGATTGGAGACATGAATGTCATGCCCTACGGCTTTCCTTTGGAAAGCAGCTTGGAAGGGCCAAATGGCCTACCTCGGATCCTGTGTTCCATTCTGTGCAGCCAGTAATTGATTGTGTGCTGCTCGTTTTAATGCTCACTCAGTATTCAGATTCTGTTAAAAAGAGGCAATTAGCACTCTGGAAATTGAATTTGTATACAAATCAGGGCACATTCGGGGCCCACAATGTGACTGCTTTCTCCGAACCACACACCACCTTCTGAAACTAAGGTACTGTTACCCAGCTGAAATAGTTGATAGTTTGCTGCAGGTTAGTGACACTTACTGATTTTTTTGTAAAAATAAATTTTATTCAGAAAATACCTTGTATATACATACATAGCCATTAATGCAGTTTGTTTCTGTACAGTAGCCGATGAAGAAACAAACATTGGAGTTTGACTCTATCCAGCAAACAAACCAAAGGCATTTCTTTCTTGCACAAGACTATATTTACATATATTTGAAGCATCAGGAGGGTCCAATAACTGAACGGACCCCCATTTACCTTCGGCAGGAAGGCCTCAGACAGTGGTCTTTCCCCCCTGCACCTTGGTAGCAGCTGTCCCACGCTTTAATGCATCCCTCAGCACGTAGTCCTGGACCTTGGAATGTGCCAGTCTGCAACACTTGGTCAGGGTCAACTCCTTGCTCTGGAAGACCAACAAGTTTTGGGCAGACCAAAGAGCATCTTTCACCAAGTTGATGGTCCTCCAGGTACAGTAGATATTTGTCTCGGTGTGTGTCCCGGGAAACAGCCCACAGAGCACAGAGTCCTGCGTCACGCTGCTCAGGACGAACCATGACAAAAACCACTGCACCTTCCTCCAGACTTCCTTTGCAAAGGCACATTGCAGAAGGACATGGGCGATGTGCACTGTTAAATGCGTGTAGACGTGTTTACACGTTAGTGGATAATTTATGATAGTATCTGGAACCTACCCATCTCTGGCCCTGGCCGACGTCTAATCGCGACAAATTGTCTCCTGTTTGAAAAGGGCTGGATGGAGAGCTGGGCTCTTGAAACTGGATGGAGCACTGACAGACCCTGCGTGCCTCATTAATCCTGCTCCATTAAAAAAAGAGGCAATTAGCACTCCAGAAATTGTATTTGTATATAAATCAGGGCACAGTCCGGGCCCACAAATATGACTGATACTCCGAGCCACACACCACCTTCTGAAACTAAGGTACTGTTACCCAGTTGAAATAATTGATGGTTTGCTGCAGGTTAGTGACACTTCCTGACTTTTTGTTGCCAGCCTGTGATTTGGTGTTAGTACTGAGTCTGTTGGCTTTGACCTCTATTTCTTTAAGCCACTCATTCACAGAGTCATAGAGTTGTACAGCACAGAAACAGACCCATCTGTCCAATTCGTCCATGCCGACCAGATGTCCTCGATCAATCTAGTCCCATTTACCAGCATTTGGCCCATATCCCTCTAAACCCTACCTATTCATACACCCATCTACATGCCTTTTAAATGTTGTAATAATACCAGCTTCCACAACCTCCTCTGGCAGCTTAATCCATGCACACACCACCCTATGTGTGAAAAAGTTGCCCCTTAGGTCCCTTTTATATCTTCTCCTCTCACCTTTAAATCTATGCCCTCTGGTTTTGGACTCCCCTACTCTGGTGAAAAGATCACCCTATCCATTTCCCTCATGATTTTATAAACCTCTATAAAGTCATGCCTCAGCCTCTGACCCTCCAGGGAAAATAGCCCCAACCTATTCAGACTCTCCCAAAGCTCCAACCCTCCAACCCCGGCAACATCCTTGTAAATCTTTTCTGAACCCTTTCAAGTTCACAACATCTTTCCTATAGCAGGGAGACCAGAATTGCAGTAGAATTTGGCTAGTCTTCTACACCCTGTGTATAAAGATGTTTTTGTGTCTGTCTCTGTGTGTGTGTGTCTGTCTCTGTGTGTGTGTGTCT